TTATACGTTTCAGAAAAAAGCATCAAAATTGACCAGTTTATTTATTTATTTTCGAGATTCGTACATATTGAAAATAATACATATTTTATACTTCTTATGTTACGAGCGAGAGCGATCACTCGATTTCTTTTTTCGATTCCAATTTCTCGTTTCATTGACAATCTTTTTCTACGAAGGCTTAGCATAAATAAAAATAAAATTCAAACTTCAAGTATACGTATCATTGCAGATCATGTCATACAGAATAATTGGGCACGCTTCTCTCATAGAAAAAATAAATGGTATTTCTCTCTACTGTCAGATTACTAGTCTGAATAAAGAACCATATTATAATATGTCTAAACTGACAACTTTTTTCAAATTCAAGTACAGTAAAATATGATACTGAGTAGGTTGTTATACATCTTTTTTATCAGTTCTTATAAAATAGTATTTTTTATTGTCTTCAAATTTTCTAATTAAACTTTGAAATAAGCAGTTCAATTTTTACTTTCAAGTTATTTAACCAGTAAAATCTTTAACATTAAAGAGAAATGGCCAATCGTTGCCAATTATTTTATTAATTTTTTTGCGAAAAACTTTTAAAAGTATGAATATTCAAACATTGAAGCTTGGGGACCTACCAAAGATGTCATCTGCATGCATACTGCATACTTTTTCACTTTCCTCTTTTCGTATGCTCAACTTTCGATCTATTAGAATAAAAAAGTTGATTCAGAACAAAAGGGGTTTTCATTCTTCTTTAATATACGCGTAAACTCATGGAGATAATTTAGCATAAAATCCATCGACAAATATAATTGGGAAAGTTGAGGATGCTTCGGAAATATCATTATATCACGAGGTAAATAAAAGCTCTGCTTAAGGGAATAACCAAGTAACAGAGAAAATTGCAATTTTCAGTGAAATTTCTTCTGCGTGTTCTTTCAACAAACATTCGTATAATATTTCATAAAAGTATTCTTCAAGAATCTCATTAAACGCGTTTAAAAAATTGTTTATCCTGCCTTTTTAATGCGAGGAGCTTGATTCGCGACTGATATTACAAATACTTTCAATACCTGGCAAAATCGTGTATAACTCGAAGGTTGTGATATAAAAACATCATCGTTTACACGCGAAATCGTGATAATATGTTTCACGAGTTTCGGAAAACTAGGCCGGAGGAATTTTCCAGCCGGATTATTCGCGCTAGTGCGCAATCAGTTGCATTCAAGCTGTGCCCCAGTCGTGCTCTCGAAGATTAGCCCCGCTTCTCACCCCCAATATATTATATATACGTATTGTAGATACACAGACGGCACACACGAGCTCACTGGGAGAGATAAACTCCCAAGCATATGGATTGAATTTGGTATTTTTCGTAGGGCAAAGCTTACAAGCCGTTTTTTTTTTTTTTGTAAAAAAATAAAAGAGGCTTTATCGCGGCCGAGTAAAAATAACCCGTTGTATTTGTGTCAGTCGCAAAAGAGCTGGGAACGCGCTGAATTAACATTAGTGGCTCAAGCGCGACGCGTATTCACGGTTCAATATTTTTATTATAATGCTGATTGTCTGAAGAAGCAGTTGACTACGTCGGCGAAGCCACCCACGCGCGACCTGCTGCTAGATCGATGATGACGTTGCCATGTCGAGCTTGAACTATTCGAACGAACTATTTACACAAGGGGATGAAATTTTTCTCGCCAAAATTATCTGCAAGCCAGATGATGTGCATGAAATATTAGTTTCTATATGAAATGACCGTAGGCCCGACACGTGGATATCACCGTTTGACTCGACTGCCTATGTCTTTTCGGACGATCAATGCTATTTGTTTTCACTTTTATGTAATACATACGATCATGCGCCTCTTGCGCGAGTCAGCCGAATATTTCACGCCGATTGGTTGACTTTGAATACTTAAACCGCTAAGTGTACTCGCGCGAAATTCGCCGACGCGTAAATAAATAGCGATTAAATTGAAATAATTTCGAGCGCAGAGAAGTAATTTCGTCAATTTACGAACTCGGGTATAGGTATAATATACTGGCGCACTCTGTACTCTGCATGCGCGCCAAGTCGCATAATGCATTCATGTGTATACGGGCTCGCTGCATTGTTCAAGTGCTGCGAGTGTGCGATCAATTGCGCTTGAGCAGCTCGCACGTCTGTACATATATATGTATATAACAGCATTCAAAAGCGAGACGACCTGTTGTGAAATCACTGAAAAGCAAGTGCTGTCAGGTAAATTAAGCTCTGATTGTAATTGCTTTTTCTCAAGCTTTCTTCGCATTGCAGGCGGTGGTGTCGCTATCCGCCCCCGAGCGATTGTCACGACGATATAATATACTTCATGCGTAATTTGAAGAGAGGGATCGACTCGTCGCGGGATATCGTATACGCGAGTCAGCTACTTTTCCAATTCAACATTTTGTTTCAAGTTTTATGATGTAGTTCGCGTAAGAAAAGCAATTTTCCGAAAGCGCATTATTTTGACCCACGCATTAGAAAGCCATATATTTCTCGAGGGATGAAGTTATTATTAACTTTCTCGCTAAAGCCGCTGTGGATTTATGTGACGTTTGACGTTCTGAAAATTCTTGGCCAGCTAACCATTTCTAAACTTGCAATATATCTTTGTCTTTTGGCTTTTGGTTCTCCCGGTGAATCATGTCATTCCTAAAAAAATTACATTTCTCAATTTAAAAAAAATGCACCCAAAATCTTCGATACTCTAATTTTCACTACAATTTTTTAACAAATAAATTAGAGCCGCATTTATTAAGTGATTTATAAATTAAAACCAGTTTAATAAACTTTCTCAAACTTTTCATATTTTCATTTTCAACTTAATTATTTCGTGCTATAAAGTAGGGTTTTTGTTTCAATGACCTAGCTTTATAAAGTGTTAAACTTTTCTCAAACTCAACCTTATCTGTTAATTACCGCTTTGAAAAATTTGACTACTTCATTAATATGTTAACCAATTTTTATTTAATTTTGCGTATCCGTTTTTCACTTTTGATGTAATCTCTGTAATAATTTAACACACAAGCATCAACTACGTTAAAAATTCACGTATAAAATTAACTAATTTATACTTCTAATAGTGAGAGTCAAAATTAATTACAATTGAGCCCTCATGCATCATTACGCGCTTAACTACATAATTTTACCTAAAAATACGTATACAAATGATAAGGCAACGGCATTATTCAACCCACATCAAATTGAGTTTACGCTCAACGCCAATTGTGTGCCTGTTTCCTTGATGACCCTCGTTAACCAAGTATTGTTTCAAAATCGTGTGTTAATGAAGAGCCGGACATAAATTTTACGTGACGACGTTTGCGTAGTTTTATGTTTTAAAAACACAAAAGCTTTATTAAGTACACATTTTTATTGCTATAAAAATAAATGATTCAAAACAATACTTTCTGTGTAAAAACGAAAAAGGAAGTAAATTACCGTGAACATTAAATATTGATAATGAATTTCTCTGCATTAAATGCGTGGAATTTAATTAATTAGATGAATGACAAACAAATAATATAACAAGCATTGACTTGACTCTGTGCATGTCGTTTAAAGTTTAAATAAAGTTTTTTATTTGTTGGTTCTCTTTTAAAATTCAGCGGGAAAAACATTTTTTCCGTGCTACGTGAAATTTCAGAGCTTTTTTCTCACCATTATTAAAAACATTATATTCGAGAATTTTTTACCGCTAGCCTCCGCTGATGTTCAGGCAAATTTAAACTATCTTAATAATATGAAAGATGATTTTCTCAACGTCAGTCATTGAAATATTTTAGTAGCAAAGTGGAGTTTATTTCGTGAATTAATATTTTATAGAGTCAAACGAAAAAAATTCTAATGCAAAACACTCTTCTTGATGTGCGAATTTTCATTGAATGAATAAGTAAAGTAATAATTAAATAATTTCGGTGTGTCTGTGAGAAATGTTTAACAAGTGTAAAACGTATCGCAATAATGACTTCTCACATAGTTTTCGATCGATCAAACTCTAGCTCAAACGGTTAATAAGTTTCGATGAATAAAAGCTAAAGCGTGCATCAATCTAGTTAATAACAAAGCTCAGTCACCAAGTATCTGAATATTCATACACATGTGCCTACAGAAAGTTAGGGAGCCAATTAAAAAGTTGCGCGAACTCACCTACACTCTGGGAAAAGCCAAGGGTCAAACAAATCTCAATTACTACTTAACTCGCTTTCATTCACGAATCGGACAGTTATATATATGTTTTACTATAAGCGCTTTAATTAAGCTTCTGCGTAGAGGGTAAAGTAAATATACGAGTAAAAGCGGCAGAAAGCGACGCGCAATATTTTCATCGAGTTTCAAGCTTGGGCAGCCGGAAAAATTTTCGACAAATACTCGTCCAAATGGCCGAGTTAATTCAACCGAAGAATATTAACGAAAGCTCGTTAATCATACGCCTGTGTAAATGATCAGTTGACGATTCTAAACGTCGTCACAGAAACGATTTTCGATTACTTCCTTTTACTTAATATAAAATTATTAGCCGAAACAACTAGTGATATACAAATAAAAACGAATATTCGCACAAATAATATTTGCAAAATACTTTTATAGTTTACATATTACACAGCCATATAACGTGGTAAATAAGCTTATACTAGACTAATAATCCCGAAACAAACATTTTTTAGACAAAAGAGAAATTTGTTTATAAAATTTCTCTTTTCGTTTTTTACAAGATGACGTGTAACGTTACATCGTGTAATTGAAATTCGTTTCAAATTCCCCATAAATTACAAAGAGGCGATCGATAATTTTCAAACAACGAATTATTCGTTCATATACCACATGAATGTGTGCCATTTCATGAATTTTGAATTTTTGCATATTCTTGTAACGATCGAAATCATTAAAATTTACTAGTGATGCGCAAAATGCAACAACATAAAACATTTTATAAAATGATTCTTCATCTATTAAGTTTTAATAAACATATATTTTGTTTCTTTCAGTGATATTGGACCTTACGTATAATCATTCGTTACTCCATACATATCTCCAACATATCAACTGCTCAAGTTAATAAAACAATATCATCATCATTTTGACTGGGATTTTGAGCTACAATCATCGGTATGTTTTTGTTATTTTAAGTTATTTAATATTTACTCAGGAGTCACGAGCCATTAGTGGTTATCGGAAATTCTCCCGATCTTCCTTGAGATAGCGAAAAAGCCACAAGCGACGTATGCAAGCCCGTACTATATAAAAAAGAATATTATCACGCGTGATATTTTTACGAAACGCGTCAACCCACTTCATTAATATATGACGTAAGTGCTTTATTCTCGCTCGATGTATGCTTAAACGAAGCTTTTGCTGTGAGTTTCGCGCACGTGGATAAAGCACGACTGACTCAAGTACATAATCCAACGAACTGACGCTATCAAGAGCTTTAATACGCTACTTGCAATATAACGACTTGAAACAAAGCGTTAACATAAGAAAACATACGTACATAAGGACTTATGGGGTTTTCCTTCAAAACGCGCTAGTTTAAATGACGATTACGGTTTAATGCAATTCCTTAATGCACTTTTTTTACTTGAATTTTTAACCGAAAAGAAAATAAAAATAATGCGGAGTAAGTGCCAAAAGTTACTTTGATATTTTACAATTTTGTAGCTTTTTGTGTATCTACAATCAATAATGGTTTTAAATTTATAATATTCAATTTATTGCATATTAATATAATCAGAATTTAAGTTCAGACATTTGTGAACTTCATTCTTTTTTATTAACTAAATAGCTTCAAATCATCTTACATAATTTTGTGTGTTAATTTATGATTGTTTCTCAAATATTTTTCTCGGACAAAAAATCAACTAAAACTTGTTTGCTTGAAAAAAAAAGGATAAATGTCATATGGATAATAAATTTTTATAAGGCTACATTTGACCAACTATTTCTCTGTACATAATTATAACATATTGTTACAATTATGTATAAATTGTTGAATAATACATGAAATTTAAGTAGATATATCGTCTGAAAATATTAAATTGAATTCAGATGAATTATTTTTCGAGAATCTGGGGAATCAGAGGCAAAAAATGATAAAAAAATTCATAAAAAAGGTGTTTCATGGGTCAGAAAAATGAAATTGCGATCCATAAAAAGACCATCGCCGCCGCCGCTGCCGCCGCCGCCGCCGCTTGTCTGCTGCTCTAACCGTTACAGGTGGTGAGGCGGACGGCGCGCAGTGTGCTTTTCGGTATTGAAAGTAAACGTCATCTCACTCATCGGTTATTCATAATTTAACAATTTTAACACAAAAATCATAGAAAAAATTGTACATTTTTGTGCTTTCACAGCAAAATTTGAACAAATAAATAATTCTTCTCATTTTATATTTTCGAATTTATCTTCTTCAATATTAAAGTTAGTCTAAATACCGTGAGAATATAAAATTGATATCGTTGATATTCAGATCTTGATGAATGATTCTAAAGTCAGTTTCTTAATTCTTTGTGAAGCATCAAGTACTTTTTTACCTAATTTGAATTGATTATAAGGAGAAGTCATGTTTTAAATGAACTCAATAATCAAACTAAAAAATTATACCAACAGCTATTAGCAGGAATAAAAAAATAACTACCGTAACTTTTTTGTATTCTTTTCTCCTGATGAATTTGAAGAATGAATCCATTTTCATTGCTAAAAAAAACAGCGAATACGAGCGACGAAGCCGTCTATAATTCAGCAAATGCACTTAAACTTTCAGAGGATGCACACAGTGACGTTATGGACGAGCCTTGTTCTGGCATGCACAATTACTTATCCACTTATCGCCGTCTGCGAGTACGTCGGATCTCTTCCTCCAGAGCATCGGGATGACGCCGAGGCGTTACATCTGCAAGAGCTTCGTCGGCAGTATCTGCAGTTGCAGAAACAGCAGCAGGAAGACCCCGAGGCGCAACATCTCCAAGAGGTTCATCATCAGTATCTGCAGCTGCAGAAGCAGCAGCAGCAGCAGCAGCAGCAGCAGCATGAAGACGCCGAGTCGTTACATCTCGAAGAAGCTCATCGTGAGTATCTGCAGCTGCAGAAACAGCAGCAACAGCAGCAGCAACAGCAGCAGCAGCAACAGGAGCAGCTACAGTCGCAGACGAATCAAGCTCAATCGCACGAGCAGGACAACTATCATAGCAATGGAGAGAAGAGAGCCGCGACCGTGGCAGAGCCTACGTGCGAGGAACTGCGCGCCATGTGGCGTTACAGCAAGCGACAGAGCAGGGCCGTCGAGGGTTCCAACGAGCTGCCGCTCTACAAGGATCCTTTCAACTACAACATCTGGGAGGCGGACAACGCCAGACTGAGATCTTCCACCGGATACCAAGGTCGGCTTTTACGCGGCTATATTTTTCGCCATCCCCGCGTCGATTTGGCTGCAATTTGAAATATTTCGATTGGTAATTGCAGACGAGTACCAGGGAACGCCTCGCAGCCGAGGGGCTGGTGGTATGCCAGTTTACGGAAAGCTCGTGCACAAGGCCCCGGCCGGCAGTAGACTTCGCAACGGAATGCCCCACAAGGCCTTCGAGGAGCTTAGCAGTTACTACGGTACGGTGTCGCGTCACGCCCCGGCCGCCTCTCCGGCTGGCGGCAAAGGTCGCATGTTCCGTCACGGTGCCAGTGGTTCCGCGCCCCAAGCTGGCAAGTTCAACGAGCTCAAGCAGTACGTCATTTCGGAACGCGCTCAAGATCTCGAGGTACGTGTAACTCATCGTTTTTACTTGATGATCGATCGACGCCTCGTAACACACAAGAGAGAGTACTTTTTCGGCAGGCTACCCTCTGCATTGCCGAGGCTTACTCTTTCTCCGTTCAGATGTTTGCAGGCTTTCCTTTTCTAAAATATTGTATAAATTTTGTATTTTTTACAAAATTTATAACTATCCATCCACTTGATTTTTGTTATGAAGAAAAAATTGGTAATCAAAATTCTCTGCATATGCGATGCTTTGCCGTGTTTGTGAAATTATACATTTTTTATTATACAATCGTACATTTCCTTGCTCGTGAAATTTATAATTTCATGAACATCGCAGAGCATTCCGTACGAGGCAGTGTTGATTTTTTCCGAGTGTAATTATTTCTGGGACCAAAATTTGTTTGAATACTGACTATCTTCCAATCCTTTAATATAATTGTCTATCAGGAAATACTTTATATTTATTCAATGAGCAGGAAAATTAGTGAATAGAAACAAAACTTTCAAGAAACAACTACAGAACCCTTCATTTAAAACATTTTACTTGATACAGAAAATTTTACCATCCTTGATCATCCTCAGATAAGAACTTAGTGGTGTCATAAATAGTCGGGATATTTTAAAATTTTCGGTACGATTATCGCTACCAAAATAAAGTCAACATATAAAGCGCACGAAGTCGCATTAAAATGTGTAAAAAGCCACTGGCATGACATACTTTTAACGCGCTACGATCAAACGTATAAATTTCTTTCGTTATTTGGTTATGGAGCGCTTAAGCGCCTTTTTCGCTGCTTCAAATCGGCAGTGCAGAGCACGTAAAAATACCTTGGACGCTTCGTCGCAATTATTTGTCGCGCGCGCTCGTTCAGCGACGAAGCAATTTCACGCTTTGACAAGCAACTATAACGAGTGTGAATTTTTTATGAAAATAAAGTCGTTTTCGAGATACTCGGGCGGTACAATGCTTCACTCGGCACCCTTCGCGAGGCAGGACGCGCGCGATCGCTCTCTTGTGAAATCGCCCCGAATAATACGGCTGACTGCTGCGGCGACCGAGTCCCTACGCCCACGCGCGCAAAAAATGTGAGCCAAGCCAAGTCGCCGAGTGGCTTTGTTTACTATAGCGCCGACCGAAACGCGCTAGAGTCGAGCTTGACCGACAAAAAATTCATCTCCGTGGGTTTAAAATGTAACTTATATTGAAAAAAATCTGCGCGCGGTATATCGAGCCAGATTGAAGCGTCGAGCGAAAAGTCATCGCGAAAAGGCTTCCGTTGATTCATTGAGAGTCGAGAGTTTAGATCCGCGTATAATGCATTGGCTCGCAAAAATCTGTCCGAAAAAGGGGCCACGTAGCAGCATATATATATTATATAAAATACGTGTGGCGGAGTAGACGCTCTGTGATAGTATATAAACTTTGTACGCGGCGGCGGACGTGTCAGTTGAGAGGGAGGGTGGCTATACGATGACGTCAATCGATGCGCGCCTGCAACGGGTCGCAAAGCACCGGAATGAATCTTATTTCTTTTGCGCCGTTTTTGACTTTACTCTTTTTCGTTTGCCGAGGAACATGCGACTGCCCGAGCTCCGCAGCTATTCGTTATCGAGGCCTCAATTTAATTGCGACGAATCTTCTGGCTAAAATTTAAAACTTATACTCTGACTTGAGCCACGAATTTTTTTTAAAAACTTTTTTTTTGTTACTTAAGAAAATAAAAGGAAATGATGCATCCCAAAGAGAAAAACGGAGTCCGGATAATGCGCGTGCTAAAGTTGAATTGACCATGGAACAACAGCTCCTTAAATTAGACGAAGCTATTAATCAAAGTCTAAAAAAAGAACTGATATTAGAACCTTCACTGTTCCATAATGGGGAACCAACTGTACTTACTGACGAAGAGTTCCTTAAAAATGAAGCTAAACACAGAGCTCTTTTTGAATTTCAAGATTTTCTCGTCAGAGAGTACCCTACGTTATTTGATGAAGCGACCGCAAAAAGACTTCGACACCATATTGAAACTGGAAAATTGCAACCATTGATTCAATACCCCAAATTACGAACTCTGAATCATGAACAAGGCTCATCGCTAGACCCCATTGAGCAAGAACAAGTAAATTATTTACTGCCTTAAATTTACACTTTTTTTAAAAACTATTTTTTTTTTTTTTTTTACTAAAGGAATGGGTCAACGTAAGAACAAAAAGGGTAAAAAAAAGTCTGGATAATGAAATTGAAGAGCAACTAAATTTTGAACCTAAAAAATTACATACATTAACTGCACTCTATGGAGGGGATGGTCAAGTAAATTATTCACCAAAAGCCCGATCATTAACGTTAAAAGATGCTCCTTTTTATGAAACGGTCCAATTTCAAGATCCTGCCCAAAAATGGTCTTCGCCGATCGGCAATCACTTAGACTTACAAACCCAGTAGAATAGCCTAGTTTTAGTCAGACAAGTTCATAGGATGCCTTTTAAACAAATTTTTAAACAGAATCAGCGGAGAGCGGAGGAAATGGCATCGCGTGCAGCCGTCTTCAAAGAAATAGACAATCGACGACAGAGTGGCGATCAATCTTCGGATTCGCGGAATACCAATTTTCTCAGCGCACTGCAAGCTTACGAAGATCCAAAAGCTTACGATGCAAAATTTGCTCCAGAATCCGACGATTTCGATCAGTCTGTTGTGGTAAGTTACTCTCTTTCTCTCCCTTTTCTTTTTTAATAGTAAGATTAAATGTATATTTAATCTTCTTTTAATCTGTTCTTCAATTCCTTTTGATGCAATTTGAACGCCACTTGAAAGCTTCAAATTTCGTATTTTATTTTAAAAACTTGATCCCTACTTTAAAAGAGGTATTATCTATTTGTCTGTTATAGAAAGCGAATCGATATCGACGGGAGTTTGCTTTGCGTTAAACGATACAGTTCATCAAACGCCTGGCCGTCAATACATCACCGATGCGATTTTTTCTGTTTTTACGCTGTGTTTCTGCATCACTGGATACATTCTGACACGGGCAAACGGGGGGCATGTTCATTTTACTTATTCGATTTCATATGAGTACAGCTGCCGCTGTAAGTAATTATACTTAATGTATCACTACGATTGTTGGCGAATGAAGAGCTATAGGCATACGTTAGTTAGTTAACTTGACAATAACTCAATGGGTGATTTTTTTGTTTGCCTGTAAGTCGAATCATTCTGCCTGCTTAAAAACTACGCGTATAAGCGAAGTAAATACTCAATTTTTTGTTATATAAAATTTGTTATTCAGCTATATATTATATATTATTTATTAATTCATAATTAATATGTATATAATATAATGTAAAGTTAATTATTTATAAATAATATCATTTACTACCAACTATTAATATGTAGTTATAATAATATTATAGCTATATATTACGTTATTAAACTACGGGATATTTTCAACCATAAAGTCTAGTATGAATTAAATTTTCAATAAATTGATTTCAATTTTGAATGAAAAATTCAATTCATATGCATTCGAATTGATAATAACTGATAATGGCACTGACAATAATGTAATAAGTTCATATTTTATACACGTTCAACTTCCCCGTAGTTGGCAATGTGTAGACAAATCACGTATAAATTATTACGAAATAATTTATGAAGATGTAAAAGAATTTTTAAATTTGAAAATGAGTATAATATTGTTCGCTGGTAGAATTTAAATCTTTCTTATTCTAGGTAATAATAATTAATGTAACATTGTGCTAACTTAATAAAACATTGACAATAACTTGTGCACGAGACTTGTCTGAATATACTATAAATATTATATATTGTGTATTATGTACATTATAAATAGAAATATGAACGAGGCGAAATTCACCTACAATAAATTTTTTGACAATATAAATAAATCTTATCGATCGACTTTTTTAATTTTAATTCTTCAAAAAAAAATTAACGAAAACAATCAATTATTTCATTGCTTTCAAATGCCACTGGGAAATTACTCGACATGATCCAAATAATGAGATTTACAAAGCCACGCGATTTGATTCTATTATTCAAATCTCTTCTGCATGAATGTGTATGATGATATATGTACGCGTGACATTATGTTGGTGTCAGACAATCTTACAATAACCCTTAATAATATAGGATAACGCTCTCGATTGTATAGATTATTCAAAAAGTCATTTCCGGAGGACATTTTTCTCGAATTGAACTTATCAATACTTTATCTGTAATGTTATGATACTTGTTTAATATTAAATTTCATTCAACTGCAATGCAACCACAAAGAAAATATTTCCATTAAAAATAAAATAAACACGAGAACAAAGTCTTGAGTTACGTGAGAATATTTGTAACTGAAATTTCTGATGCAATTTTTCCTAGGTAAATAACGTCGTCAGACAATAATTAATTTACAAAGCAATGAAGGCTGCGTTAATTAATAATAAATAATGGCTTAATGTTATGACAATAAAAATGAAACCCATAGCCCATTGTTGAAAAAAAAATATAAAATTTTTTTAAGTAATTTTTACGATAGTATACAAAACATTTATTTGACTATTCTGTGTTAGATAATTTAAAGTAGTCGTAATATTTTCCATGGTACAAAATATTTAAATTCAATTAAAATAGCTGCTGTCTTAACCGAGAAAATAATAAGCATAATAATTACTCGACATCCAAAATTAAAAAATATAATGTAAAAAGACTTTGAAATTCTTTGTCAAAGAGGCGAATGTTATCTATATGATAAATAAATTGTTTAAAATTGTATACATAACGATAACACTTATTAAAATAAAAAGAAAAAAACAAGGTGTGACTTTTGTAATGCGAACCTATAAAAGTATGCACTCATCCAACGTAAACGTGTTCGATCATATACATACAAATAATATTTACATAAAGTAGATATATTGTATACCTACATTTACCAAATAAGTGAGTTGATGTAAATGATGGGATTTCAACTGAAATCGAAAACAATGTGACTTTCGTGTAAATAATACTTAAAAATTATTGAAATAATTCTCGTTTTCGGTATATTTGAGTGATCGATGCTTTTGTTCAAACTGACTCGAATGAAATTTATCAGCGTTACATAGGATATCTTATTATATACTAGGCTGCAAGGCTCGCGCGAAACCTCCTCTTTGTAATTTTCAATCTTCTCGTCTTGTCTACTTCATCAGAGTTCAAAAGTACTATAACAATTGAATTTCTCACTTCGGGTCGATCACGCACGGATTGCCCTGAATAGGGGCGCATGCGGGGGTGAGCGATATAGAAACAATTGAAGCGTTCGACCGCGCTTAGCTGTATTATCCATCGGTTTCTCTGAATCTATACCGAAGGACAAGCCATGAAGGGGGTACACCTCAAATCTTACGCTTAATTAAATTTCAGCGTTTAATAAAACGCCACTGGATGGCATGGTATGTGCGATTGTTCGGGCAGCATTATATATCAAGGCTCGAAGCTCAAAGCGCAATGATAGCGACTAATTTTACTTGACTGATCCGCTTGACTTTATAGTTTAATAAAATGTAATAAATATACCAAAAAAAGAAAAAAAGAACACAATGTGAAATGATAATATATAACACGATTATTCATCAAGTGATTCAGTACTAATGAATAATTATAACAATGATAATGTTATAAGTAGGTACCTATATTCTATGATCTGCTAGTAGTTATCTTGTGTATTTTAAAACTTGGTTATTTTATTATGCGAGCTTTTGCGATATTGCGAACCCACGTTTAAGATGAATTGTTGCATAGAAAGTAAGCAGTCATATAAATCAGATGTATTTGCACTCGTTCGCGTTTAATTGATGTGTATGTAACGAAACAGTTATATTTCTGATGAAACACGATTTTTAACAAGTATGACAATCAGAAACTTAATAAAAAAATAATGAAAATAATTTATTCAAAACAATTCTCAAGGAGGTATCAAAGCTACGGTTAAACTAATGAACCTTTTCAAAAAAACTACATGAATAAAAAACCACAAAATGAAAATATCTGGGTAGCTTTCAAATAAAAATTCTTTAAAAATGTGTTTGAAAATGTTCATTTTAACATGGCTTTGGAATCTCCTAAAGAACGTTCCATGAAACAAAAAGGATGAACAAAAATGTCTATCAAATTTTCCTAATCCTGCATTTTAAAACGTTAATTTACAAAATAATATTTACAACATCTAATCTTTCACAGTTTCATTTAAATATCTAAAAAAGAACTGCAACAAACTGTCAAAAAGTGAACTAAATATTTAATAGTAACGAGACGTATTTTTGATGCAGGAATAGATGGATTACATATACATTTTTGATAGTTTTTTTACGAGATCAAAATAACCGACTTTAAATAAAAAAGACAAGAGTATTAATAAATAAAAATACTGGTTATAATGATGATCTTAATAATGATTATTATTTCATTAAAATGCAGATTCAATTCTATGTATCATAAAGTACCAGGGAAAAAGAATTTCAGTTTAGTAAATATATTTCTCGATGATTAGTTAATAAAATTAAGTACAATATCGTCACAAATAGATATTATTTTAAACTTAGAGCCTAAGGATGCTAATGACTTAAAAAATAGGCTTCTTTTAGCCTCTGACCTGGGAGTTAAATAAATACCTAACTGCAATTTCTTTTTCTCTCATATTATTAATAATACAAAATTGATTTATTACTATTATTTTTATTATTATAATTATTATTATACTCTTTAGTATATTATTCTTATTCAACGCTTAGAACGACTCAAAAGTTGAGGAATTCTTCGTTTACTTGTCTCAAATAGTCTCAACGAAAGTCATACTTTTTTCTATGATTGTCGAAGGCAGAGAAAAGTGATGAAAGGTATGCGCACAGCTATGGGTCTCTCACAGAAAGTTGGAGCAAAATATTTGAACTATTTTGCCGGCGTTATTTCAAAAGTACAAGTGGTTGGGGAAAGGAGGTTGAAAAAGTTCCATAAACTCTGTGTAGATCGCACTTTATCAAGTTTACGCGCAGCAAATTTCAAGCAAACTTTCTACCTTCATGTGTTATGAGTAACAAGAATATTGCTTTCGGTAAACTGAAGCAGTATGAAAGAACGTACAAATTCGATGTGAGGAATGTAATGAATATACGCCCCACGTAGCTTCTCGTATCGTATATATAACTCTAATCGCTATTAGAGGTATAATTAATTTGAAGTACCCTACGTTGCACGATGAATTGTAGCTGCGCTTAAAATACTTATGAATGTGAATAACTCAATTAAGTCAACTTCTCGTCTTGACACTGAATTTCTAGTTTTTTATTCAACTAAAATTGCTGATTCGAATGATAATATGTAAAACAAAAATTAATATATATGCTGCAAAAAGCGCGGAGACATATTTTACAAAAAAATACCAATGAAGAAAAAATATCAATAATTAGAGAAATAGATAATATATTTCAAAGACAATATTAATAAAAAAAAACTTTCTTAAAACGAATACATATTTGTATGAGAATGATTAGAGAAATTCTGTCTCCATTGACCTTATTATGTGTACTACTGAAAATATTTGTAATGTTTTGATGGTTTTTGAATGGAAATGCATTTAGTTTTTATTGTGAACTATTTATCATTTCATTTGTGAAGATTTATGTATAACAGTTAATAATATTTTATTTAACAAATACACGTCTACTACTGACAATCACTGGACCGGTTATTGATTTTAAGTTCCTATCATTATACTAATAGGTTGGTAAGAAATAAAATAAATTTTGATTATTTATGCATTCTGAATTTTTTATTTACATTATGACAGTTCTATAAGTATTTTATTTATACATATACGATATTTTTGTTTTTTAAAATTTATAAAATTTTCTACCGACAATGCTCAAACTAATGATTTGTCGAAGGAAATTGTTTTTTTCTTTTGAGTATGTACAATGTATTATAAAAAAATCGTATTTGAATATATTCATTTAGTTCCTAATAATGAAAAACTTAAACAAGTACGGAACTATATGCTGACAATTTTTCTTTTTATTTACACTCATTTATCATTGACTTTCAACTAGAAATAAAATGAAATGCTTATTAAAATCATTGCGTTGATAATATAATAATTTAACAATGCGCGCAGATGGTTTTTGACAATTTGAAAATTAACTTATCTTATATAAGTTTTGAATCAAAGGATTTGTTAACCTAAATCATAAAAAATTAAATGCACGATTGTTATAATAAGAATTTGAAATGTAAGATAACCAATAATTTAAAATAATTTTTTATCACTAAAAAGTAGCACGGTGCTATAACAATAAGAACACGATTTGATTCTTAAAATTACAATCTATTATAAGGATTTAAATTCTATATATTATGATATTTAACAATACAAACATAACAAGTTATCGATTTTTAGCAAAAGAAATTTAGCAACTTCTAATGAAATTGTATGAACTAGCACCATCCATATCGGTGAATTTACCAATTGCATTTATAATGCATTAATTCAGTTTATTTAACAAACACTTCTCTAGAAAAAAGCGTGACAATAATTAGAAAAAGCCATTCACTGCGAGTGCTCAAGCGGCGTCACCTCTGGCACGCTTGCTCAGTAGTCAGACACCGTTGGCTGCAGGTGCATCATTATTATTAATTGAATTGGTGCTGCTAGTATTCGTGGAATTAGTTACTGTGCAGCAACCAGGTGGGTGCAACAAATCATGATATTGCATAAGGGCCTCACGAAGAGAGCGGGAAACTGCTCCTGAAGAAGTGGTCACGGTACATTCAACCAAACAAGGATACAAAGCTATCAACTGCTCCCAGACTGATCGTTCCACTTTTGGGAAGGAAAATTTCATTTAGTTATATTAATTTTTTTAATTCATTGATAAAAATGAAATTTTTTACAAACCTTTGTTTGCTGGAGCTTTTTTCAGCGACACAACAAGCGTAGCCACAGCTTTAAGGACAAACGATATTTCTGACAACCTGTACCTAGAAAACAGTTATATAGTCACCTTTTTAAGATTATTCAAGCACATGAGCATACAAAGGAAACAAGGCCAAGACGTCAATGAATATTATTTACGAGGCATGTAGCATTAGTAAATAAAATTATTAAGATCAAAAACTTTACCTTGGCAGAGGGCATTTGCCGCTTCGACGTTCATCCTCGACGTAACGTTTGAGAACTTCCTGAAAGCGATGCAAAAGTGCCGTGACCGCGAGACGTCCAGCAACGCCACCTTCGTCACGCTGTGCTGACGTGATTGCTTCACTGTTTATGTTCTCCGAATCACCATTCAAACCATCCAATAGCGAGAACTGCAAAAGCGTTTCAAAACAAGTTTTTGCAAATTCTTCCCGCAATTTTGGCTCTCCAGATTTTTCTAAAACATTATAACGATGATGTTCAAAAGCTTATCATTTTTATTCGATAAATTTATTAAAATTTTTCTCCTACCAATGTTTGAAGTTGCTGAATGTATTGAACCTTTGTTCAAAAGCATAACAACTCTTAGAACAAATTGTTGAGGAATATTTTGCGAATGCGGTAAGACTTCATCTCTCAATAATTCCATTACTTGACAATCAACTGCTTCATCGGCTTGAATTTCTTCGATACCACGGTCCAAATTCACCGGACTATTTGATAAAAACACATTATTTAATCTTTACATTTAGGGTCGTTAGATCAATAGTATTTAATATATTTTAAACTCACTTTGAAGGGAACAAAAAGTGCTCCAGTGTATCAGCGAGTTCTTGCCACATACTTTGGAAACTATCGGGATGATTGCGAGCAAGAGGTAACCCAATGTGTAAAATAGCTAAAAGACTTGTTACAGCTAATTTCCATGTTGTGTGCGACGGACAAGCATATTTCATACCAAGAGGAACGTGGAGAGCTTCAATAATGTGCTTTAAAATTTGAGCCTCTATAACAGGAGGCTCGTTAGCAGTTTTTTGATACAAATTAACGACCATCGAGAGAGCTTTTTCTCCAAAAGGCACATAATTCATTGTAACCCAATCAGCCTGTGTAAAATTATATTTGTAAAGTTATGAATTATACATCTATTTGGGTGTAATTGAACTCACAGAAACGCCTCGAACTTGAGAGATGTGCTTTGTAGGAATTTTGCCATAGCTTGGTGCCTCGCACGCTAATTTTGAGTAGTAAAGCAATTGTAAAAATACTGGGCTGATCATGAATTTCAAATTTTCTTGAGATGATAATGCTTCCTGAAATATAAAATCAATAATCAATGACACATATTTTTAAAGATATAAAACTCTATCAAAGAGACCACATAATTTCAACATCTAGATTCGTTGGAATAAATCAAACGAAGATTGAGTCGTCCTTTTTATGAGTAAAATAATCGTTTATCTTACTTTTTGAATCAATTCCATTGAATGTAGAACTCCGTCTTGTAATTGAGTCAGAACAACGTCTGGTACAGTTGGTAGAATGTAGGGAGTAGATTCGCCATGAACTGGTACTGCGACAGCATATTTCAATACGAGGCACAATTTTTGTAAATCCGCCGATGTAAATCTTCAAAAATTGTTGATAATAAATTAGGACAAAAGTGATAATTGTTTTAGACTTGAAATAATGCAATACTTTACTTGTTTTTGAAATGTTGGAATACTGTTGGAAATATTTGAACGAGTGCCGTGAGAAATGCCTGAGATGGAATGTACGGTTCGACTTCATTTTCTTGAGGCGGTTTGGTACTGTCTAGTCCAATGCTCAACCAAATACGCCACGCGATGGTCCACAAAGCTTCGGAATCTTCGGATTGCGTAGGATCAGTATTGTTGATATCAGCATTACTCTTGGGTACATACAGGATTTCTTGGAATGATTTCAAAGCAGCTAAAGATACCTATTATTTTAAACGTTAAAGTCAGTTTTAAATTACCTTGACTTTTATTTTTGAAATAGATTTAAAAAGGCAAAAATTACCTCGTTGTTTTTACTAAGAGCTGAATTCTCGACGAATTCTAATAACAACGACCAAGCTCTTGGAAAGTCACCCAGCAATTGTAATAACTGTCTTTTTGTATTAAAGACTCTCGAAACACCGCTAAGCGTTAATACCTTCAATAAAAATTCGATTAATATGTTATACGATTATTAAATAAAACACTCGTTTTACGTTTCATTTACCTGTGTTTCAGCCCATTGTTTCTGTGCTGTATTTCTACTATGATGTATGAGAATGTTACCAGATGTGTCTACTTTCTCATTGCTAGCTGAGCTCGATAAACTTCGTACTTTATCGAGCAACGGAAAGAGAACTTGCCAAAGCACAGCTTGCCATGTAGGTTGTTGCAAGAGACTACCATGAGCCGAAATTGTCGAAAAAAGTGTTTGGCTTGCTGATTTACGCACTGCTGGTCGTTCATCGACGCACAAATCACCAAGTCTGGCAAACAAACACATCCAAAGTTTGTCAAAAGCTGACATGTTTGTTGTGCCAGGAAAATCGGGAAAAACGGAAGCGGAGTCACCGCTTAAAGACGCACAAATTTTTTCGTGATTGTGATAAAAGTAATCACTTATGTTCCACTGAAAAAAATATTTTCATGATTATTAATGTTTTTAATATATAATTTCAATGTACAAACCATTTGTCCAACTGCTGTCAGAGATATATTGAGTTCTTGAGTTTGGGAACCAAATTTTGCCGCAGTATCGACGCAAAGTGGAAGACATCTCCAAGGCATAGCGGGTAAAAAGTCAGTTATAACCAACTGCAGACATTGAAACGCTATACGCACTAAAGCCTCTCTGTAAAAAAAACATAATTTCAGTTATGAGCATTGGAAATAGCAAATCAATAGGACTTACCCATGATGATCGGACACAGCTCCAATTATTCCAAGTACCAAAGGCCAACCATGAAATAAAGTTTCACCAGCGCCATGAAGAATTTGCAAGACGCATTCTAATTGTCTTTGTCTAACATCTGCATGGCGTACAGAGGAAAGTTCAGACAATGGTCCTAAAAGTAATGTTTGTAGTTTCTGCAAAACAACATTTTCTTATTACATAGTGTGCAATTCTCAAAGCTCAACAGTAAATTGGCGAAAAAAATGACGTACTTGATTTTCACGTAGTGGTTGAGCGTACTTGTGTTGCAGAGCGGCTTTAACTAAATAGGTAATAGCTTCTACGCCCCACTCTCTCATTCGAATGTGCGGATGTTGACAGACTTCAAGTAAATGATTCGTCAGTGGACGCCACAATACTTCAACCCTAGGTAAATTAACTAAACCAGTTTCCAATAATTTTGCTACAGCAAATAGAGATGGCTCCTATGAAGAATATTAAAAAGCTTGCATTACTAGTAGGCAATACAATTTAAATTTAAACCATTTTATTTTATTTAATACTGATCAATCAATCAAGTTAGTTAAAATGAAACAATGATTAAAGTATGAAAGTTTAAAAGAATTATCTCAATTACCCTGTTTGTGTACGCAAGCTCCATAGCTTCTTGACTTAGCTTACATAACGCATCAATAAGGTGGTGCAGAGCAACATCGTCGAGATGCTGACTACTTTCAAATAAACGGCTGAGCATCGCACTGAGTACAGGTAAATCTGCCATGACAGCCGTTGTAAGCATAGCATTGGAATCAGCTGCAGTTCTGCCGGCTTTTAACGATCCTCCAGTTGAGGGCTTCAATCCGAGTATCCAAGCCAGATGCTGCAACGTCGTAAGCACTAGATGCCAGGCACTACCGAGTATGCTACCATGGCAATGTGCGAGTAATAAAAGAGCACGCATGCATTGTAAATTCTTTACTGTCAACATCACCGGACCTTGTTGAGCACCTGGAGTGATTTCAAGTTTGATCATGAACATGTCATAATTTTTAAAAAATTGCAATCAACGAAACATACCAATTGGTAAAGATGCAGTAGGCAAAGGTGTACCCACGGCCACGACTTGCTGTCTGTAATCCGATTCAGCAAGATTTGCTGGGTTGTACTGACCACCGGATGAAACAACCTGTTGAGCCGAATCACCGGCCGACGGAGCCTGCTTTGCCACGGCTGACGCACCGCTGGGAATGCCCTGTGGTGCACTGTACAGAACTGTAAGAGCGTAGTGCGGTGGAAGCGAGGCTTTGCATATAGCCGTGATAAAAGCATCTCTTGGAATCTGGAGTTCTAATAAGCCACACAGCGAAGCGAATGTTTGAATTTCTTTTAGGACATTTTCCGTGGCTGTTTCATCGGTGCTCGCATCGATGAGCGGACTTAAAGCAGCCAACAAACCACACCAGCTTGAGTTTATCAATTGAGCATGAAGTTTACGATCAGCCTCTGAAGGTTCATATCGACGCTCTGGCAAGGTGGCATCATCTCTTGGTCCTTGAATTGCCAGTGCGATAGATCGTATAATATCTAATAGGCAAGCGTACGCTATGCTAATACCATACCCATCTGGAATTTGAGGTGGATCCACCTTGTCCAACATTTCTAAACTATTAAATTAGTTTTTTTGTTAATTTTATTAGTGAGCGATTATATTTATTTTATGTACGTTTTGCAACGCAAAATTGTAACTTACTATGTTGATTTTGTTTGTCCATTTTGAAATGTGACTACAACTGGTAACCAAATACCTCTAGAGTAGAAACCTGGTTGTGGAGTTACTCCAGGTCCTATTGGCATGCCAGCAAGCATAGCTGGAGCTGTACCTTGAGCTATGGGTGCAGTTTGTCCTAAAAATTTTATGATAAATCTATTAAGACAAATTTTAATAATAGGATTATTAAAAAATTCAATTTAATACAAGTAACTTGATTTATCAGCTACTAATATTAAAGAGATCTTGAATGTTTGTTACTACTAACCAGTATTACTTGGTACCATATTTGGATTTACAAAAAGACTATGAATATATGCTCCCAAACTATTAACTATATCTTGAAATATGTTTGTGGCATGTGGTTTCAAGTCATAGCAGTTGCAAAAACTTGTCAATAAATTAGCTTGCACTGTCATTTTATGCAAAACTTCCAGGGCTAAAGCTCGTTGCCATGGTGGTTTGTCAGGATCCAAAAATTTTACAATTAGAGACAAAAATATCTCACATTCTGTTACCTTTAATAGTATCACCAAACTTTAAAATTTATTTTGTTGTAACACTTAGTAATTGAAGTAAAAAAACTTACCAATAAGAAATGATACTTTTGAATCAAAATGGAAACAACTCTCAAGAGTCTCATACTTATTGGAAAGTATGGTTTATCAAGTGGAGTGGCTTGTTGTACTGAAGCTGGTACAGAATTACGGTATTTAATATTTGGTGAAAATAATTTAATGACAAGTGCACAAACTCTTTCTTTCAGAAGAAAGCTAAATTCTGGATGCTGCAATATATAAACAAACATGTTACATAAAACAATCTCGTAAATAAGCCGTTGAAATAATACAAAAAAAATTTCTAATTCAGATCTTCAGAATTATATTTAATTTTCTTACCTTGAAAAATACTGAGGAAAAATTTGTTAAAACTGATTCAAGCAATTCTAAACCAAAAGTTCTGGTCATTTCCACAATACCAGTTAACCAATAAGGTTGATCAGCATTGACTAGTTGAACTAAATCCTAAGTCATTTAAACAAAAAATTAGATATTATTTTAAAAAATCACATCACTATTTGTTAATTTTTACCTGAAACATTAAAAAGGCATCAGCTGCACATGGTCTTAAACCTTTTGGTGGAGTACTAGTAGGTATTTTCAATTCTTCTAAATTCTCATCTATAGTAGGTTGATCAGAAAACTGTTCATCTTCTGCCACAACTCGTTCAAATACAAGAGAAACTAACTGCCTAACAGTTGCACCAGCTGTATTGCAAGTTGTTGAATCTTTTGTGAAGTGAAGACGAAAGCATAGAACCAAATTCTGAAATATATATTACAAAATAAGCAAACTTGATTTTTATTTAATTTAAATAATAATAATCATACTCTTGCTAGATTATCTCCTTGTACAAGTGAATTACTAGTTAACAACAGTGTTACAGTTTGTAAGACTTTTACTTCTTCTATGCCAGCTTCCATTAGTGTCTTTAATGCATCTGTTATAAATCTAGCTCCTTTTTGATCAATGGCTTGTTGCGTGATCAATCTTTGCATGACATTTAAACAAAGCTGAAAAAAATTTTAATCAATAAAAACATTATTACAAAAAATCAAAAATAGGATGAATTCAAAAATTATGTCAATTGATTTTTTACCTTGCTTATTTTTACATCTTTACTTTCACAACCTTGAACCAAGGGATATAAAATTTGATTAACTACATAGTAAACTTGTCCCGGTTGGTTAATCGATGAGGCTTGCCTTAATTTGATAATACTCTCTTCGCATGCCTATTAGAAATTTTATATTAATTCTCATTGTTTGTAAAGATCTAGGTGCATTTGTTGTCTGAACAGTAGACCACTGTGAATTAAAGAGAAGGTAAACTTACCTCTTTTATTTGAGGAAACTTTTTCTTTGTCTCTGTAGCTAAGACTTTAAGATCAGCCTGTAGCGATTCAAAGAGCTTTGCCGAATTGTCCTGGACACCTGCAGGACCAGCCGCAACAGCAGCTAGTCCTGGTGTTGCATTAGACATCTTGATTTAAAGAATAGGCTTATCCACGCAGGCGAAATAAAGATGTTTCACATCAAAAACTCGACAAAAGTTTATCTTTATTTGAATGACAATCGCGACGTGGCGAACATCGTCATACTGCAGCAGCAAAAATTGCCACGGAAACTGTCTGACGCTTTACACCTGTCTTGCAAATGTACACGTTATCGAGAAAACGGAGCGTCTGCTCGGGAGCTGCTCCGTAGACTATTGTACTGGATGATAATGCAATAATAATCAAATAACACACAATAGCCGCACCTTTCTTTTGCACTTTTGCCGCAACTTGACGTGTGGGCGTGTGCGTGTTGGTGTGAGTGTTTGTCTTCTTGTATGCGTGACGATGCACAGAGGCACTGTCTAATTTCACTTGTCGCACACAAACATAGGTTGTATTGGGATTATGTTTCGTCCTGTCGAGTACCGCCAGTGCTTCGGACTATCGTCGATTATGAATGTCTGCATCAACGCGTCGCTAATGAGCTCCATATAAATTGGCTGTTAACGGTATCGCATGGCTTTTTGCGCTCGACGATCTTATCATCAGTCAACTATCAGGAACAGCTGTCAATTCTTGCGCCACGTATTGTATTATTATTGTGCGCTGCAGAAATGAAATGCGTCGGTGTGCGCGCGCGCCTCAAGCATTAAAATGTAATTGTTAATTGTTTCGCTATTCAGCCAAGCTGCGCAGGCTGCCGTGTGTCAAAAATAACGTTTAGTTACTTATTCTGAATTCATCGATGACTGGCACTGCACTGCGCGCGGCTGAAGCCCGAGCGGAGAGCGGCGTTTTGCCAATTTTGCCTCATTACTCGTGTTGACCTGTGTTGTTGCTTTATTGCTTACCTCGCGACTTCCCCTTGCAGATTTCAGGTGGCGTCGCCGTCGCTCTTGCAGACGCTATTAACTCAAACCAGTTCCATTGTTTACATTTCATGCACTATTTTACAATCGTACTGAATTCAAAACCATTCTTGCCAAAGACCAGCGTTTTTCTGGTTCTCTTTGGCAAATCGGTGAGTTAACGTGAAATTATTTTTTTCATTTTATCGGAAACAAATATCTAAGTACAAACTTTATCAATGTAAACTGCAATTGATGTACCGTAACGTTGCATTCAAAACATAATAATCATGACACTGATGCTCATTCTCTTATACTTACCTCTTTGGGGCATCATGATTCGTGAGAAATAATAATTGTGTATGTACGTATATCTGCATACACATTGTGTATTCGTATTTACATTATATATTTGAGAATTTCACTGTGTGTGTTTGTACACAAGAATTACGCAGTAATTTCCTGAACACAACATTTATTTTTTAATAAAGCTATTGATGAAAACTTTATAAAGACTAATCCCACAAATTAGCACGATTTTAGGTGAGATTTGAGCTTTATGTTCCGGAAACGGACGTTCTTTATCAGGCACTCAGTAACAACTAAAACTCAAATAAATGAAGAATAAAATCATATCTATTTTCGAGTTTCAGAACTCAGTGTTGAAGTTGAAATTTGAACAACAAAATGGATGTGTCTAGACGAGCAAGTCATTCTGGTAGTTGGTACACCGATCACAGTATGTGTTTATTTAATAAATCATACATTTTCTTGAAAAAGTAGTTCAATTTCAAATAATGACTATTTGTTATTAAGCCCAAGAACTTAATAAACAACTGAGCGATTGGCTAGGAGCAGCAGATTTATCTCATGGACCTGCAAGAGCAATTATATCGCCGTAAGTACTAATTTATTGCTTTTATTTTGTAGAAATATATTATTAATCATATATTTTTTACAGTCATGCTGGTTACAGTTATTGCGGTGCTTGTGCAGCATTTGCCTATCGACAAATCAGTCCCATTGTTGTGTGAGAATTTTTTAAAATTATTATCTTTTTTTTCCAAACTTTTGTTATAATAGAAATACTGCGATGCAGTCGAAAGATATTCATTTTAGGTCCTTCTCACCATGTCAGATTGGCCGGTTGTGCTTTAACCACTGCTTCTATTTATAAAACACCCTTGTATAATCTAAAAATTGATAAACAAGGTAATCTCTTTGCTTACTTTTTTTTTAAATATCAGTTGATAATAACTCAATATTTTATAGTTATCAAAGACTTAATGGATACTGGTTATTTTGAATGGATGAGTATGGAAACAGATGAAGATGAACATAGCATTGAGATGCAACTACCCTACATAGCTAAAGTCATGGAGGAGTATGTTCTTTTAATCATATGAAAATGTTTTTAAATTAGTACTAAACTTTATCAAACAATTTTTTCAACTTAACAAGAAATTTGCATGATCATATTATACTTTAACTTTGCATAAATGTCAACAAAATTAAACATTTGTTTTTTAACTCTCATGATATTATAAACATATGTGAATCTCAACCAATTTCTCTTGAATAAGCAAGGTAACATTAGAAAACAATCTTGTAAAAGTTAAAATTACTTAATTTTTAAAAAAGTCTAAAGAACTTTTTTTCAATCTATTGGAAATTAAAATTTCAGATTCATAATAGCTTATAAATAATTATTTTCAATGATTTTAGCTATAAAGATGCATTTACTGTTGTACCAATTTTGGTTGGATCACTTACCCCCGATAAAGAAGCTATGTATGGAAAACTTTTAGCTCCATACTTAGAAGATCCATCTACTTTATTCGTCATATCTTCTGATTTTTGTCACTGGGGCCAGCGTTTCCGTTATACTTATTATGACAAATCATGTGGTGCTATTCACAAATCTATAAAAAATCTTGACAAGATGGTAGGAGTGATCTTTTAATTTCTCAAAGTATATTTCAATCATTTATTTTTTTATTATTTAAATTGACTTTTAGGGAATGGATTTGATTGAAAACTTGACTCCTTCTGCATTTACTGATTACCTAAAAAAATATGGTAACACTATTTGTGGAAGACATCCAATAAGTGTTTTGTTGCAGGTGAAAATCGAAATTGATAAGTTTTTATAATGCAAGAGAATTTTTCAATAATTTAATTTTTATTTTAGATGATCAAGAGTTTAAAAGAAAGAGATAGCAATCAGCGAATGAACTTAAAATTCTTAAAATATGCACAAAGTAGTCAATGCAATAATATAAATGATAGTTCTGTCAGTTACGCAAGTGCTTCATTGGTTATTGAGTGACAATAAAATTTCCACTTGTAATTTCACCCATTTAAATTAACCATTGTAAGCATTCACTTTTCAAATTTGATGTACAACAAAATTTATAAAAAGGAACTATATAAGTTTCTTTGCTATTTTTTTGTATTTGAGATTTCAAAGATGTTTTTGATGCTTATTGTATATTAATGATATATGAACATAATTTATTTATTATGTGCAATGTTGTTTAAAAAAACCTCATTCATGCAGTAATTGCAAGTAATGTCTCATTTGCCTTTTACTATTAAAAATTTCAGTAGCTGTTGTTGAGTTACAATTTAACATTTTTTTTTTATATTTTAATATGGTTCATGTAATTTTCTAAACCATCTAATAAAATATATTATATTATATAGCATAAATGTAACTGAAAGTAGACTGATATTTGTCTGTCCATTATAAATAATGGTAAATGACTGACGAGGTAAGCATTTAATGTTTTTGTAAGATGCTAGAAATACTTGTATCACGTTTGTAAACAATAAATTTAACTTCAGAAAATAAAATAAAACTTGCTTGATTTTTAGTGAAATTTTTTTTCAACATTTTGAACAATATGAATAATTTTTCTTATATTATTACTACGTTAATATCATGTTGGAATTAGTAGGTAGGATAATATTAAATTTTAAGGCACACAATGGAGCTGAATGAAAATAAACATGATTACTTAAATAAAGTTTTATCAACAAGAAAATAGTTTTGAAACCACAGATGAAAGTTTTTGTAGCTTAAACAGTATACCTTAATTCTATTACTGTAAGACATTCAATGATATAAATTTTCATCAATCTCCATGCAACAATTCACTATCACTTAATATAACCAAGCACAATAACGTGTTCATTTAAGCACTATCAGAATCACCTGGATTGTAATCTGGGTCATCGTCGTCATCATCATCTAAATCAAGATCATCCAAATTTTGGAATAAACTTTCATCGACTTTAACTGTTTCACCTATAAAAATTGAATGTTTTAACATAGAATAAAATTTGAGCTTCTCATTAGAAATCTAGATGAGGCATAAATTTTTCATATTACCTTCTTCAAGGAACTTCAGGTCAGAGTTAATGAGAGTCTTATCTGTCATAAATAATTCTTTGCCGGTCAACTTTTTGCCTTCTTTTTCTGCTATCGCTCTTTTCTTGTTGATTCCGGTCTCTTCATTGAATTTTTCCTTCCAACACAAGAAAGTTTCTACTGTGACTCGCGTACCCTCAAATCTTTTCTGTAATTTGAAAAATAGGTAGGATAAGTAAAGTAAGAAAAATGAGTTGATTATAAATTTGATGTGTTTACCCTTTCAGCTTCTTCTTCTTCTATTAACTTTTTAGCTGCATGCTCTTCTCTGTCTACTTTTATTTGGTCCCACTGAACATTTAACCACTCTTGCGCTGCACTAACTAATGTAAATACAACAACAGTACCTAGATTGTCTTTAATCTGCTCTTGTAGAAATTCCATCAATCTGTCTTTATCTCCTTCTCTAAAATTTTCTTCATCTTCAATTGTAACAAGAACGGGATCTTCTGGATATTTTGGCGTGTAAGTAAACTCGAGTCGACAGCCTAAACCATTATTAGTTTCTGGTTCAAACTCTTCGGATTTGATTGGTATCGTAAATTTTTTGGGATTTGCTCCTAAAACTGGAAAGAAAAAAAAGCCAGATGATGTGTTGTCAAAAGGCAAGAATAAACTTGTAATAATTGATTTGCGTTCAACTCACTTTCCAATTCTCCGTAATAAATTGAATCCAGAGCTTCGAGCTCGTTCGACTGTTCTTCTTCGTAATTCATTTTTCTAAAAATATTTGTAAATCCTATAAAAATACAATTATTGCAAATGCAGACGAGTACACGTGCGGCGCTTCACTGACGCACCTATATATTCTCACATATAAATACACACATATTGGTGCGGCGTACAACGCAGGCGAAAGCAGAAGAAGAAACAGCGCCCTCTAAAGAATGGTTAGCCGGTACAGATTCTTCACACCAGCGCTTTTTTTGGCTTCAATAAAAGTATATCGATTAATTACACAAATGTAATATAATTGCAAGTTGACTCGCGCAAGATTAGAATTTTGAAAATATACCTAGTTCATTTTACAGTATAAATTTTCACATTTTTTTTTGGAGAGAAAATATCGAAAAAATATGACAAATTTTTAAAAAGTTACATTTATGGTAGTTGGTATATGAGTGAAAAAAATTACTCAACGACGGTTTATTAACCATTTAAATTTAGAAGATTGTTTCATCAAAATTAGACTTGACTGATAAATTGTTTGGTCGAGTAAAAATAATGTTTAACTAGTGTAGATGGCGAATGAATTCCAGCTGATTGTTAGCCGATATATTCAAAGTGAAAAAAATGGAAAAACAAAAATGATTCAAAGCATCGCGAGCTAATAGGGGTACATGTGTATAGGTAAATTGTTTCGATCCGCAAGTCGATATCGGAATTAAGCCGCGCGTGTGGCCGAACGTCGTATACAGGATTTGTTATGTGGGTAATGCGTTGGCGTTGGATCGCTCATATCCGGCGTAAGTAAGTTATATCGTCTCGATCGCGACACGAGTAGTGCGGTCTGGCGCTCGCTCGCTCGGAAACGGTCTTTGGTGCGGGGTTGGCCGCAAGCTTAGGCCGATCGAGCGGATGACCGCGCGAGGGGATGTGCGCACAAGTGGCTGCTGCGGTGCTGCTAATACCGTCCCCGCGTCGTGCACAGAAGCGAGTACCTATTGTAGCCCCAGAGGCTCCGAAGCGCAGCTCCTCTATATAGTTGAATCCACACGAGTCGAGAGAGTCGAGAGTCGAGTCTTGGTCGCTCGTCGAGCTTGCGACATCGAAATCATCGGCTGCATGCGTGTACGTACGTACCCACACACGTAGAGAATCGGGACGCGTGGGTGGGTGGTGCATATATAGGAATAGGCGAGCTCCCTCGGACTGTGTAGGTTGTGCGGGTCGCGCAGTGCGCGGGCGCGCGTACAGCAGCGCTTGTACAGTCGAACTCACCCCTCGGTACCTACAGCCACCTACAGCCACAGCTACACCACTGCAGCTCTCGGCAAACAGACGTATTCGTTTTTCAGTATAAACATGGCGGTCGAGGCGAGAGCTTTAGCCGCCAGCGAGGCGTTCGCTTCTCGGACAGCTGGACGGTCGTTGTCGTCCTCGACTGCAATCGTGATCGAGTTCGAAGAGTCGAGAGCGCGCCATAACTGCGAGTTCGCGAGTGCGTAAGTAGTCGTCGGCTCGCGACTGCTCCGATTCTGTGCTTCCTCTGCCTGTCGTCGCTCGGTCGGTGTTGTGTGTGGTGCTTGCTGATCGTCGATAGCTCATTATTTGCACGCGTGCTTTCCACTGGACCTGAGTACTGCGTTATACTAAGCCTCCCCCCGTCGTCGTCGTCGTTTGCTCCGCGTATACCCAATTCGTCGCTGTTTCATGGGCGCGAGCCATAAGCCTGGAGGATCATGCACCTCTACTTCGAAAGGAATCCCAACGCCAAGTGCGACTGCAACATACTGTCGCTCAGCTGGATGGGCAAATTGCCGGACGAGCTTCAAGAGGTAACGTCCCTCCCGCAATGATTGCTCCGTTAAGTGACGCGCTCGGCTCGATCGCGAGCAGACGCGCAAATTTGCACGAGTTTCGGGTATACAGCTCGTCGTCCACGAGCTGCGTGACCAAATGTAAATACATATATACCGTTGCGATTCTTTATCGTCGATCCGCGTTTGCGTTTCGTGATGCACGCGATACTGCGCGAATATAACAGTGTCGCACTACGGCATCGAGCTTTTCAATCTATGCACCTTACTCTTCCATGGCAATTAAAACTCCAAAGACTCGAGGCATCCGCGCGATGCAAATGGCAAACTAGGAACGATTGCAGGAATAAGGGCCTTTTACGCGCGAGATACGTCGCCTACGAGTCTTGCATGTGTGTCTAGCTATGTATGCGAGCTGTACTTGCGCCCGCTGCAGTGCGTGCGTGTATTGCCAATCGCGACCGAGTATACCGTAAACGTGACCTTCGCTTTTACGACTTATCCTTCTTAAAAGCTGCATTTATTATCGATCAATTTTCTTGCCGTTCGCAGCGCTCTCGACTTTCAAACCTCCACGAGTATCGTTTCTCCCTCTTGAAATTCTCCCTCTTACTTTCCAAAATAATCCATCTATAGATCGTTTGGCCTTTATTTTTAATATTCCCCAACGAATTTTCATCGTTCTATTTACACTTTTTTTTATCGACGATCATTAGTCAAATGTAAGCATTACACCCCCCAAAACCTAAGAATACGGACAGGGGACTTTGCTATCACATAAAGTGGAATTTCTCCATTGCGGCTAGGAATTCAAATTGATGTATTACTCCGAAAATTCTTGCCACGAGCTATGAAATTTCTCATTTCGCAGCCGGAGGATTAACACCCCTTTTTAAAAAATGACTCATCCTAAGGGATACTAATTCAAAAAATGACTCAAAAATTATTTTTCAAATCATTCCTGTAAAAAAATTTTTCAACCTTTTTACGAATTTTCGTAACTATCTTTCATGGACGTGAACTAGAACACAATAAAAGTTGAAATTTCATTCAATATAATAATATTTAAAAAATATTGTTTGAAACTTTGACCTTTTAATGCGAATTTTAGTCGGTGTCAGTTATGAATGTAATTTAATTTTTTTCAAATAGCCTTAAAACTAAAATAACACATAAAGAAGTAATTTAACATCTCAACACATTTTTTTATGTGAAACTCATTTTAAATGAGTTACGGAAAGAACGTATAAAATAAATGTAATTTTCACTCGAAAAATTCAAACCATCAAATAAATGATTACATCAAAGTTAAAACTTACCTTGAAAAATAATACAAAATATAAAGGTTTAATATAAACGATAGATTAATTAACTCAATCTGTATTTAAAACTTTTTAGGGAGTTGCTCATATCGATCTACTTTTCATGGGAAGTTAAACTGTTCGAGGTAAATTTTCCTTTCCTGGGTGCTTTTCTCTGATAGTGACGCTGAAAAAATTACAATTAAAAATAAAAGTACAAAGCTTTGAAGGGACATGGGTTCCGCACGGCTCGCAAACGAGCACGGCGTTTTTCCCGGAAACTGATTGCAAGACAAAAAAGAGAGTCAACTGGAGCCCGTGGACGAGAAATACGCAGCATTATAACATATAAGGGTCGCGGCGCGATAAAAGCGCCCGGTGACGATGCTAATTTACGCTCTTCGCGCAAGAGTAAAAATAAAAGGCGCGGGTGTGGCTGCACGAGATTAAGTACTTTTTTTGCTGTTGTTGTCGTCGCTGCTGCTGGGAGGCTCGGGTCGCGCAATGCAATGCCATTGCGGGATTTAGAAAAGCTCGCGTATACGCGTACCGATTAGACGCGCGCTTTTTCCGAGGGCCGAGCCAAGTGACCTTTGACTTTTGACGATACTTGGAAATACCATCGAGAATCAATGTTAAAAATATATTTTACAATTTTTCATCATCAAAACAATGCTGCAAATAAGTATAAATTATAATTAATAAAAAAGCTCTCAAGGATCCATCACGCATACAAGTGGATGATTAAAATACTGGCGCATGTAATGGGCCAATGTCACGTAATACTAGACGACTCTTCTCTCTCTCTCTCTCTCTGCCCTTACACGTATCAATAGATGTTATGCTTATTAACGTACATAACAATATACCGCGTTCATGATTCTCGCTCGAGATGCTAATTTCATCAAATTAGCCGAGTTGCAGACTTGTAATGGACCCTTGACGCACGACCAAGAAAGTCGCATTTACGCATGCGTTTCGACATCGTACTCGAGTACAACGAGCGCAACGAGTTGAATTTTTTCGCGTGGAGCGATTCATTTTCTAAAAAGTATTCAGCTCGCAGCGAGCAGACAGCAGTATTATAATATATAGCCGTCGCACTCAGCTGCGCGCACTAAAATCCTATGACGTAGTACAAGAATGCATTGTCACGCAATGCTGCGCACCAAGTACGAGATATATATATTTACGTAGATCGCCGCAAGTGCATTAGCGCGTCGAGCTCTGGCTATAGCTGTGCAAGCCCCGAAAAAGTAAAGCGGGCCAAAGACTGCGTGGGGGTGTATTGCATATACGTGCGTGGCATGGTGTGCAGCGGCCGCGAGAAAAGGAGCCGTACTCGCTCGCTCGTAGTTCGCGTGCGGCCCATTAGCTAGCTAGCACGAGTCGAGCGGCTCAAGGTCGAGAGACGCACACACGACTTATTACAGTCTGCCGGGGCTCCTTAATTCTAACGGATCAGCTAACGACGTGTACTGCATGAACACCTACGTAGCACGTACACACGTATTCCCTGCTCCCTGTAACGACTATATTTCACTCCCCCTGATCTTCCTCCGCACGTAGGCTTTCTTATGTAGGCCTTGCGGCTCGAGCCACAGTTCTCGATGTAATATCAACACCTCGTATGTCTATATCGTTTCAAGACTGCTTTTACTTTGATCGGCAAAGCTTCTTATATCGATTTTCCGGCTAAATAAAAGGGAGAGAGATAGCGTTTCGCAATAGTCAGCCGTCGATCATTTTCGTACCTGCACTTTGCACTTGGAGCTACGAAAACATTTCACGCTCGAGTAACAAAGTAGACTTTCTGGGTGACAACGGCTTAATCCACCAGTCATATTAATGCATGTAACTCGGCATTTTTTGTCGATACTAATTAGTTATCGATTGCGATCTGCACAGTCACAATGCCTGCGAGGCAACAAGTTTGCAACATTATTACCTCCGTACCGATGAGCAATTTGTAATCTAAATAAAGATGCTCTAGTTAGATCTTAACTAGCCCTCGAGTCACGTGTTCCATAAAAAAAGAAAGTATCATATAATGCTCGTGCTTTGTTTGCAACTTTACACTTTTTCCGTGTATTATAATACTGCAAGTATAAATTACCGATACGGATAAAGGCGATCAATGCTGCATCGAGCCTCTTCGTTTCATTAGTACTTGGCTGCGAGGGATGTTTTTTCCTCATTCCGCAGTGACTAGACCACGAACGTATTACGATAATAATACAAGCTTTTTTGTCCTTCCATAATTGCTTATAAGCCGCGGTAGAAAAGTACGATACTTAATATTATATTGACCGGGGGAACAGAAGATAAAATATTTATAAATATTATTTTCCGCCCGACAACAAACAACTAATGCTCGCATCTGAGCACATAATCTCTGTATACATAAGAGTTTTGAGAAGTGACCTCGATTCATGGACAAAAGCTTTTTGCATCGCACTTACATAAACCTTTGAACTGCGCGCGACGGCCGTGCACACTAGTGCGCGATATATAGCCGCAAATTGAAGATGCATTCAAAGCGGACCAATCCGGAGCGAGTTCGCAGTGCGGAAAACGATTAGTCATATTTATGCCGGGCGCGCGGAAAGTCGTCGAAAGTCGTCGACGACGTCCGCCGCAGTCGGCTGGAAAACTCGAAAATCACTCTAGCCGCGAGATCGATCGCGTCCCTAACGCAAGCTCGTTGCGATCCACTGCGCTGTACGAAATTTATGTACGAGTGTCGCATAATATATTACATTATAAATACGATGTATGCCTCGGTTGCAGGACGAGAGCTGGAAGCTGTACCGGCGCAAGTACTACCAGGAGGGCTGGCTGGCCACGGGCAACGCACGAGGTCTCGTCGGCGTGACCTTCACCACGTCGCACTGTCGCGCCAAGGCGCAAGAGCTTCCGCTTCGAGCCAATTACAATTTGCGCGGTCACAGGAGCGAGGTACGTAATATTCGACGATATCGTCCGTTGCGACATCCAAAATGATTTCCGGCCTAATATTCGCACAAAAAGTACCAAGAGTACAAGCGCGTTATATGACAGCTTTTGAAGCGATCCTTCGCGAGAAGATGGCTCGAGATTGCCACTTAAGCTCAGCCACGTGCACGACTCATATGTATATTTGTACGCTCGTGTGCTCGCAATAATACACCGCGCGAACGTGAGAAACTTTTAGTTGCTGCAGTCAGGGTTAACGTTTGAAAACGCGTCGAGCTTTACACGCACAGATATACACGCATATATACATATATACATCTGTGTGCACAAGTTTCCATTTGACACTGCTTCTGCTGCTGGATTCACAGTCGCAGCTCTTTTGTCTTGAGCTTTGTAAACTCTGCACTCGCGGCGCATATATATATACACATGTTACATATATATAGCAGCTATATTGTTTCGTCGATTGCTCTACTCTCCTCGCGCTCGAGTTTTATACTTGTGCGTTTATATGCGCCGCGCACACATTATAGCCGCAGTGAAACACTTTCAATTAGTATCGATTTTCTTTTCTTTGACCGTTTGTGTCTTCTTTTGCCAACGATGCTATTCCTGAAGCAGTTGAAAACAAATTTAAGTAGATCAAAGTCACTCGAATACTTTGCATGAAAACTTGATCGTGAATAAGTGTTATGGATTTTTTTCAAAGTTATAAGTAGCTCGACGTTCTTACCCAAAAATATAACTTTTACCAACTTTTGTGGGAAAATTTAAATTATTGAAAATCAATTCGTTCCCATGTGCATATTAATCATTATAATTGATGTCGATGATTGTGGAATTCGTACATTTACTCACAAGCGATGGATTAATAATGCAGCCTCTGAAATAGCGCATATTTCCGAGTAAAATTTAATCATGTTGAAGCAATCATTTATTTACAACGAGAATCAAATATTATTGGTTAAATATTCCGAATGTTTTATGTTCAATTATTTAGCGGGGAATATTATTTTTCTTCAATTTACTCTTGATATACTATTCGATATCGCTGTTAACTAAATTGGATGACTATGTATAACTTTATATCAAATAAATTGCATTCATGAGTTCGGAGATAATTTTACATTCGGATTTCATTTGGAAACATCGGAAGCATGTGGGGTGTCATTACAGTAGAATCGCATCAATGACTTCTTTTCAATATTTCTATACCATCGCGTGTCTAAGTTTTATCTTTCTATACCGAATACAATTTTTTTTACATAATTTTTTTTTAAATGTAAGTATTATACTTATTTCCGTATTAAATATTACATGTATGAGTAATTTCATTATGCACTGTATTATTATAGATTTTTAGAATATATTTTGACTTTTGAACTAAATGACTTTTGAAATTTATCATACTTGTAAAGCATCAGAGTATTATGCACCGATCAAAGTGGATTTTAAAATAATCTTTTCAACTAAAAGTTTTTTCACATACAAAACATCGAAAAGTCATATAATTATGTAGATACCGCACCAATGTGGCTTTTGAGATAAACTTTTTGAATAAATGTCTTTCTACATAAATTACGTGCGTGAGTGATACATATGTGTACTGAATCTATATAAGTTTTGAGATGACTCTTTCGTTTAAATATTTTTTGCACGTATCGCATGAGTGAGTTACACTTTGATGCATCGAATCAATATAAATTTGAGATAATCTTTTCGACTACATTTCTTTCCACTATGTGCCATGGCTTAGTGATATCAGTATAAAACGTATCAACGTAGGTTTACGATAAAGTCTTTTTACTTTAGTTGTTGGCCCTTTCGATTTTCATTTTCATAATTTAGAAGTTAAATTTTCATATTTTGTCCGTTGGGTTCGACTTTACATTAAATTATCATCAGAAAAATTGCTCCTCATTGTATTTATACATTTTATTTTAATCGTAATACATGAACATATTCTTAATATTGGCTTTATATTTAATCTTTCGAATCTCTAATAAAATTGATGTTGTAAGAAATGATGAATTATTAGATAATTTCAGTATCAAATGCCTTGAAAATTATTTAATAAAGTGATTTTCATGGAGTGACAAATGTGTAGCCTCTTTTTTCATTCGAAAAGCAACAATAAAATTAAAAATGTTGAATAAATATTTACTTTATAAAATTTGCATAATCAAAATTACTTGATAACATGGTTGAATAAATAGTTTAATTTAATTCTGTCTACTTTTATTTAAGACCAGTCTTATAATTTTAATTCTACATGTTAAAAGAAAATGAAAATTATTTCAATAATATTTACCGATCGTAATGTCGAAATTGTCACGTATCATAGTAAACACAAGAAACTATGTAACGAATAGAGCTCTCAAAAGCCGAACGTATAATTGAAACAATAAATGCCGTAACATGAAGTTACTCAAAATTTTATTACTATTTATAAGAAAAGTTTTAAAACATTAAGCTTCAAAATATGACAACTATTTTCAAAATTTTTATAAAATTAAGCGATAATTAAAGCTTGTAATTAAATTATTTGAAATCAGAATTTACAAGACATGTACAGATCTACTCATAACAGACTCTTAACGAGGTTTTCAAACATATTTCGAAAGTTTGTTTGGGCTCTGGTATGGAAAGGTCATTTTTATCATAATAGCACGCATCATCACAGAGCTCCTTCTAGAAGAAAGAAAAATAAAAACGAATTGGCTATTGTTCTGTTACCCTGCAGATAAATACATTAACATTCTTGAAAATGTGCCAAAGAAAATGCACGCATCTTTTTCATTATTGATTTTCTTGTATACATAAGCAAGTACAAACGTACTTACATGATACGTCATCAGACAACTGTATACTTTTCATCTCATTATTGATCGAATCTCCTTGTTTCACTTGTAGTCGTTGAAATTTTCTCGACTTAGTTGAAAGACAAACATTATTCTGATTATTTTTTCTGAGTTCCTTGAATGCATAAACTCGTCTTACCGAATGAATCTGTGTTGTTATTTGAAAATCAAATGCAATATTAAATAAAATCGTCCAATTTCGATAATGCACTGAAAAGTCATGAATATTTCGAATAGTCTTTGCCATACATTTTTCAAGAGTAAAACTTTCAAATGTCGAAGTGATATGTTGGGTACTTTTTTATTGAATGAATATGGAAGCAGTTAGTGCTGATCGGAAACAGCAAGATCCTTGAGTCAGCGCTACACCGCGCGAGTCACGAACGTAAAAGTCAGAAGCAGGAACTCGCACGAGACGACAGCGAGCATTGAGAAAGGAAATTTTCCAACGTCGATGAAAAAATTCTTCATCGAATGGGGTTTTTCTTTTCTCGGTTTTATCGGCAGAGGAAAGGAGTTTTGCGGGAAAAGCCCGATTAGAGGTAGGACTCGTACATAAATCGATCGTTCGCGTCCACAGGTGATACTGGTGAAATGGAACGAACCGTACCAGAAGCTCGCCTCGTGCGACAGCACGGGGGTGATCTTCGTCTGGATAAAGTACGACGGGCGATGGAGCATCGAGCTGATCAACGATCGCAGCACTCCGGTGACGTACTTCTCTTGGTCGCACGACGGCCGCATGGCTCTCATTTGCTACCGGGTAAGACGATCGCTCGAGTATGATAAACAAAACATAGAGGCGTTTCTTCTTTAACGAGTCGTGTCGTTACGTTTGGCACGCGACGCAGGACGGCTTCGTGTTGGTCGGCAGCGTGGCGGGCCAGCGCTACTGGTCGTCGATGCTCAATCACAAGGCCGTGATAACGTGCGGCATCTGGACGCCGGACGACCAGCAGGTGTACTTCGGCACGACGGCGGGCCAGCTCATAGTCATGGACGTGCACGGCGCCATGGTCTCGGAGGTTCAGCTGGGCGCCGGGGTGACGTCCATGTCCTGGTCGGCTGAGAAGTTCAAGCTCGAGGAGGACGAGGACGACGAGAACAACGACGAGGACGACCGAGACGACGATGATCGCGACGACGACGAGGATCAGCTGCCACCGCCGCCGGAGCCGTCGAATCACCCGCAGCAACAGCAGCAGCAATCCCAAGACTCGACGGCTTCCAACGGCAACTCGACTGCCAACGACCCGCGCAATTACGTGCTGGCGGTCTGTCTGGCCGATGGCAACGTCGTGCTGCTGCACTCGTTCGACGACGTGTCGCCCGTGACGATTCGCACCGGACTGAGGCCGCCGCTGCAGGCCGAGTGGAGCAACTCTCGCAAGATCCTGGCCGTGGCCGGCATCAAGGAGCAGGAGCCGCTCAACAATTGCCACAACAACAACTGCTACGAGTACACGAACCTGCTCAAGTTTTACTCGGACACGGGCGTGCTCATCTACACGATCGTCATCCCCTACACGCAGGTGCGTCTTAATTATATACAGCCAATTTTCACGGAGAAATGAATGGCCAGTAACTCGCATCGACCTCTTATTGTTTTAATTTGACGCACAGAGTCCGGTTACCGCCATGACATGGGGTCACAATGACAGAAGACTATTCGTGGCCACCGGAGCGCACGTTCACGCCGCTTGGGTTTCCAGGTATGCAGTCTATTCATTCGCTCATGTGTATACCTATAACTGTATGTAACCATATAGCCACTGCTCGAGCTTCGCTCCGCGTTTCGTCCTTATCTCCGCGCTGCTTTTTAATTAAACTCTTTTTCTTGTATTTCTTTGCCTGACTCTTTTATTCACTCTGTCTTCTTCCATTTTTTCTTTCAATAAAAGAGTTGGTACGCGAACCAAAGGATTCAACATTATGGATTATTCGAAATGAGTTTGGAAACTTTTTCAAGGTCTGCGCGAATATGACTGTAATGATAATAATCTAAATCACGAAGGACTGATCGATACGAAGTTTGATCGATTTTCGTTGAAATCGCTGATCGAGTCCGTGATTCAGAAAAAGTCTTTTATTTATCATTATTTTTCTTTTTCAATTCGGAAAATGAGAAGCTTATTATTAACTCGATATTGGAGCAGGTTGTTAATGAATGCAACTGTGATTGAATAGGGGCGTCGGCTCGTTGCAATTGCTCTCGAGACTCGCGCTCAAAGCTGCCCTCACCAAGGAGTCGAGCGTGCAACAGCTGCCTCTGCCGCTCCGTCTGAAGACCCTCGTATCTGGACTGTTTTCCAGCACCATTCGGTGAGTATTTGCTTGGCTCTGACGTGTACATTATTTATGTCGTCGCTTTGCTAGCTGCATAGTGCCGTCGTCGTCGCTCAACTGGTGCGCAAAAGCCGTGATAGTCTAGCGACGTCGTCGGGTCGCGCCTCGCGGCCACGTCTTGACTTTCTCTTTTCCTTCGACGCGCTTTTCTCATATTCTTTTTGCCCCGAAGAGAGATAGAGTGAGAGAGAGAAAGAGAGAGAGGTAGAGAACCTGCTGCATGTATATAATGCGAGCGCCCATGTCGCGATCGATAACCCACGCCTTACTCTCCTACTCGGGAAGCTATAAAATAATGTCTCGCTCACCAAATGACACCTGCAGGCAAGAAGCTACGGAAGGTACTCGACGCGTATACTCGTCGTTTGGCCGATCGATTCAGGAGAATTATAATTGCTTCAGCTTCTGGTGACTGTAAAGTGCATATAGCGGCGGCGAAACAACCGTTACGACTCAAACTTACCGTGTATTCGAACTGCGCCGAAGTGGATAAAATGTAGAAAAAGAAGAGGAAAAAAAAGCGAGAATACAATATAGGCCGGAAACTCGAAACTCGCAGCTCTCTAAATACATCGGAAAACCTACAATACAAGAGCTACGCAGCATATATATAACACGATGCAGGCGGGCAGGGCTGAAAACGAGGCGCGCTGCACACGGGGAGTACGGGGATCGCTATATAGCCGCCTGTATATAGTACAGGGTGGGTGGAGATCGCTCGCTGGATGGCATTGATTAAAAGCATCGGTTGAAAGCCCTCCGAGATCTGCCGCTGCATCCGACGCGAGCGCGCGCGTGGCAGGGCTGCTGCCGTCGCCTGACAAAAAAAAAAAAAAAAAAAAAAAGGAAAANAAAAAAAAAAAAAAAAAAAAAAAAAGTAAGACTGCCGAGAAAGCACAAGCTGCACAAGTCGAGGCATTATTCAGCCTCTCTACACAGCTGCACACACGAGGCGCACAAAGCGTCGAGCGGCTCGCGCCCACGAGAGCGGGGGACGTTCAACCCGAGCGCGTATATAAAGCACTGCACATATATACGCGAGCTTTCTTTCTCCCTATTATTTCCTTGCGACGTCGTTCGTCGCTCGTCGTCGCTCGTCGTCGTCGACGACGCTGATAAGAGGATGTAGCGCGCGCCTGCACTTTTGCTCGCTCGACGCTTTTTTATTGGATTTCTCGATGCGAGCGACGTAGTCCCGCATCCAATCGCGCCGAGATGACCGTTTTTTAATAATTCCGCCGACGGCAGCTAGCGACGTATAATCGCGAGCGTGATATAGGCGCGTCGATTTTCAATTTGACGGAGGAAAAATACACGCGGACTAGCGCGCTGGCCGGAAGGTGCGACGCGTTAGCGGAAAATTAATTAAAATTTCGAGCCGAGCTCTGCGTATAACGCGAGGCTATATAATCTGGATTATTCGTGTGCGCAGTTGCTGCATCCCGGAGACGAGGGAATTGCGTCGATTCGTGTCGCGACCGCCGCCGCTGGGCGGCCGACTGCACTGCACGATGCTGCGCAACGCCGGCGAGCCACCGCACAGCTACACGCTCTACGTGGAGTACCTCGGCGGTCTGGTGCCTCTGCTCAAAGGCCGCCGCATCAGCAAGATCAGGCCCGAGTTCGTGATCTTCGATCCGGAAAACGGCAGCAGCGTCAACGGGGCTAACGGCGCGGAAACGACCTCGAGCAGCGGCGCCGGCAACAGCGCGACAACGCCCGTGGCTTACTATCGGGTCTCGTGCAGCGACGACTCGGACAGCGACCGCGACGCCGCCGTCGATCTCTGCGGCGGCTCGCCCCGCTTCAGGCGGAAGAATCGACGCAAGTGTCGCAGCGCCTACGAGCGAAGTGCCGCCAGTGCTCATTGCCACGAGGACGACGAGACCAACTACGTCGACACCTTGCCCGAGGTTCGTCTCGGCGAAAAATCGACGTTCGATCGTCGCGACCCGTCGGAAGTCTTTAACGGGATAATTTTTTTGATTTTGTCCCGCAGAACGCGAGGCTCGTCGAAGTGACGTCCAACATCTGGGGAACCAAGTTCAAATTTCACGGTCTCGCCGACTCCATGCCGGCGAATCTGGGCCGGGTGACTTACAGGCCGTCTCTGCTGCATCTGCAGCCGAGGCAAATGACCCTCGTGATCACCGAGCTGAGGGACGACCTGCCAGCCGGGCCAGACCCCAACTTCAATCCGAATCTCTTCTCCGAGGACGAGGAGGACTCGATCAATCAATCGGACGCGTCGCCGGCCCAGTCGAGCGCTCGGATCATAAGCTCGGGTCCTCTGCGCTGCATGAACGCGCTGGTCGATCAGCACCGGCCCCAGTCGCCGCCCATAGCCCCGATGACGCCGCGGGTGGCGCGCTCCAGACCGAAGCAGCAGCCGCCGCCCCCGCCACCGGCCCATCAGGTGGCGCAGCCGAGGCCGCCGCAGCTTCAGGTGGCCGAGAGTCGAGCCATGGCCAGCGAGGACGACTACCCCTACGATCAGCACCCGCTGCTGAATTACAACGGGCCCGGGGGAGCCTACCACCACCATCATCATCACCATCACCACAGGTCGACGTACGCGCCGAGGTGCTGCGACGTTCCGGCCCTGCAGTCGCCGAAGAACGCGGTGGCGCCGACCCAGACCCTCATAGCCACGGCCAGCCCGAGCCCGGCCACCATCGGCGAGTACGCCAGCGGCGTGCAGCGCATGAAGTCCGCCCTGGCCGACTACCAGCCCGGCGCTTTGACCAAGAAGGAGCTGGATATGAGCAACGCCGGCCAAGCAGCCTCGCCGACCTCCAAGCTGCAGCAGCAGCACTACAGCCACGTGAGCGAGGACAGCAAGTACGTGGCTTCGAACGGCTCGACGGGCTCTTGCCTTCACCAGTCCACGCAGCCACCGACTCCTCCGCACTTGAACTCCGCTTACGCGAACGCCCCTGCCGGTCTGAACGATTGTGCCACGGCTCCTCTTCAGTACGGCATACCGCTCAGTGCCAAGGCGAACAACGGCCCGGTTTTGCGTCGCGAACTGGCCAAGGAAGCGGCTAGAAGCGATCCTACGGATGCATCGGACGTCAACGTCTCGGGCGCCGAGGGAGAGGAGAGCAAAAACGAACTGCCCGCGCTCAAAAGCCAGTACCAGGTGCGTTGCGTGCCATTTAATATTCCATTACATTTCGTTCCGCCTCGAGACGTTGTCGTGACTTTTTCTCCGTTTCAGCTTCACGCGCCGACCGTGGTGAGCATCAATCCCACCCAGGTGTCCTCCAACTCGATTGTTCGCAGCTGCAGCGTCGGCTACCTGGACCTCGTCGACGCCCAGATCGTCCCCTGCGAGATGGCCCTCAACATGCTTCGCAGAGACGCGCCCAACAAGCGGCTGTTCCTCGTCTCGAGGAAGAACAAACTCAGAAGGCCCAACAACAAGGATCAATCTCTGTCGGATGCGGCTGACGCCGGTGCCAATGTCTCGGTGGTGGTCACGCATCGCCGGACCCGTCAGCGTTTGAGCGATTGCGGCAAATCCCGAAGCCTCGACTCGAGCGAATTGTTCCCGTGCAACGAGCAGATGATCCAAGTCCCGCCACGCCTCACCGAGGAAACGACCGTCGGCGGCAACGGCAACTCCGACGAGCCCGCCGATAACGAGATCAACGGAGGCAACGCGAACGAGACGAGTCGTTGCGTCGCCTGCCCGATGCAGACAGTCAGCACAGAAGTGGCCGAAAACGAGCTTAACGTACGCAAGGAAGAAGTTATGAGCGAAGAATTGCAAGCGCGCCGCTTGGAGCAGCAAAGAAAAAATGCAAAAATACCTACGAACATTGACTTGAACTCGTGTCTGTCGCCGGTCAAGTAAGTTTGAAACTGGAGTTAACGTGGCCTATACGAGCCGCTGAAAAAACATCGACTGTACGAACATTTTTTTTACAGGGGCTTCAATGGAAACGCCTCGACGACGTCGTCCTTGGAGTGCTTGACGTCGAGGCTCGATAATTTGGCTGTAAAACTCGGCGACTATGAAGACTGCCGCTCTTTGCCACCGCCATCTCCACGACCTACGAGCAGGTACGTTCTTCCAAATATCCACATGGTGCGCGAGGTGATGAAAAAATGACTCAATGTTCATTCGTTTCTTTGGCCGCAGACTGCCAAGGAGCTCGCCAAACAGTCCAACTCCGTCGAAGAAGGGTAAGAGACCTGCGTCGGCTTCGCCGATTCGAAGAAGATTATTATCGAGTCCACTGCTGGGTAGAAAATCTCGTAAAAACCGTAACGAGAGTTCCGACGAGGAAGACATTGGAAATTACCGCGATCTCGAGACTTTCCAAAAAGCTCAAATGCGCCAGAAGCTGAGGCAGAGGGCCGGTCAATACGCCTCCGAGTCCGACGCGACCAAGAGGGAAATCATAATGCACAATAAAGCCCCCATGTGGAACGAGGCTAATCAAGTTTACCAGCTAGACTTCGGGGGTCGAGTCACTCAAGAGAGTGCGAAAAATTTCCAAATCGAATTCCGAGGCAATCAGGTAATAAAATTTACCCATATTTATTTGTCGTAAAGTTGATGTAAGATATTCGAGCGATTCCACCTTTTGATAATCTTTTTAGGTGATGCAGTTTGGCAGAATACAGGGCAACGCATACACACTCGATTTTCAATATCCTTTTAGCGCCATTCAAGCATTTGCTGTTGCTTTGGCTAGTGTTACCCAAAGGCTCAAGTAAGAGCTTGGTTATGTATACACAGTTTTTCCATTCGTTTTATTACTTCACGAGAAATCATAAATTAACGAAAATTGCAAAATATTTTTCATGGATATTCTTCTTAACTGTGTCTTCTCATGCTGAAAATAAATGCATACGTTCCGTCTGTTTCACATTTTCCGTCGGTGTATGTATCATAAACGATAATTAATCAAAAATTATGATACACGTGATGTATACGTTGGTAATATAATTCAGGATTCAATATTCAAAACTAAGAAAAAACACAGTACACAAAGTAAGCGATGTCACAAACGTTGTACTATATGCAATTCATTTAATTTGTGGAATTCCTTTAACCTAAATACCATTACAATCAATTTATTCAAATCTCTCTATTTGTAAACTCTATTTGCATACTTGTTAAGCAAATAAAATTTATTTTTACACTATATTAAATAGTTCAAAAGAATGAAACGAAATAATAATAATCCATTTATAAATGAAAAATTCATTTATTTAAATTTTGGTATCGAAGTTTTACTAATACAAAAAATGAAATACAGAAAAACAACAGTTTTCTATGTATTCATGTGAAAGTTTATTAGATAAAATGTCCAATGGATAAAAATATAGATATCATACAAATTACGATAAAAAAATTTACTTCGCTTCTGTCTGTAAATATACGAAAACATTACTACTTAATTAGTAGAATTTAGCTTTTATTTATTACATACATTACCGTCCAAATGCATTTGTGAGAAATTTTGATGAGATACCAGAGCAAGGAAAATAATAAAAAAATTTCATCTTGTGCTCGTAATTTATAATTTTTGCAAAATATTTCTTAAAGGAGCAACGCGAACGTGAAGAGAAAAACTATACAGAGGCACTACCAATGCTCTGTTGATAAATATTTAGTAAAAACAATTACGAAGCACAAGTGGGAATATTTCCATTCTTACTTTGGCTCATAACATCCCATAAAAAACACTCTGTAAATAAAAACCATTCAACATTTTTAAGTTTGTAGTCTCGTTTAACGTAACAACATCTAATGTTATTAAATAAATCTATTTTTAGACGTTGTTTGGCAGCAAAATCCTCAATTGTTCGATTAAAAATTACCAAAACCAGGTATTTTTTCCATTCAGGCATAACTTGTCACTTTATGTGCTTAACAAAAAAGTAAGCTTTAAAATGCCAATAAGATGACATTTGTAAATACAAAAATAATTATTTATTGTAATTAAAACACGATTAACATTATTCCAGCATTTTATGTAAAAAAAGTTGAATCCTGTAATATAGATTGGTGGTTGTGTGCATGTGGATTTCTCGTTTGAAAATAAATGCTTTTACGTGTAGGAAAGCTTTAGAAATTCAAAAACAGCCGAAACGAATATATTATGGTTCATTGATTTAACAATCATAATGAAAAAGCAAAGTTTCAGTACAATTTTTATCGATGTGCTAAAAAAATCAGTACGTTTTGTACTACAGGCAAAAAATGTTCTTTAGAAGTACAATTAATTATTGTATATAAAGGTTTGCAAATTTATAAATTGATAGATTTTATATTGGAAAATTTACAAACGATCTAAGATTTCGGATATTGTGCAATATGGAATTTTCATGTAAAAAATGATAAGTTTGTGTAAATGTTAACACAGAAATCCGATTTATATAGAAAAGAAATTGTGAAATGTATAAGAAAAATCATGACTGATGAAATGTATTATATATATTGTACTTATAGCACGATGATATATTATTATAATTTAATAACTACACGTATGGTATTGTTGTTTTTATTGTAAGAACAAAGGCCTTGTTATCACTCAGTTTATTATATATACGCTATGAAATTTACCAAAAATTGTCTAGATAACGTGCAATAAACTTTTGTTACTAAATGTGCATTCATAATAAAATTTGTAAATAAACGTTTACCGTAAATGATATACACATTTGTTATTCATTTATGCCTTTAAACAAAATGAAAATGTTCAGGTTTGATAAAAAATATCATGGAATATGAACGAGGTTCAATTTGAATCTTTTTTCTTTTGATTAATCACTATTTTTTCTAAATGCACTGGTTCGCCTGCCAAATGTAAGATAAAATGCCAAAATACAAAGCAAAAATGATAGTCTAAATAAAGCAAAAACAAAAGGCAACTCTCCAAATTGACATCTCATTACTCGACCATTTTTTTCACAACTTTTTTATTTTTTATACAGTGATATAACTCCCGACCAAATTTTATCGTAGTCTCGTCAAGCACAATTAAATTGAGTCAAAATCTAAGCTCTCAATTGAGCACATTAAAAAACCAAGATACTTTTCTCTCGTGACTGAACTATCGTATGTGTATATTTTTTTTCATGATTCAAATAAATAAAATCGAGCCTTATTTCCTCATCATACTTTCTCTTTGTACCTTCTAGCGATTACGCTGGACGTTTTACGAAAAGTATTTAAATTGAAAATTATAAAGATAAACAAGACTTTTATTTACATTTATTAGATCTAAATTGGTCAATTGGTTCACTCTCTGTACAATCGAACCTCTTTTATTCATAAAAATTTACCATTTCCTTGAAAAAAAACTCCCTCATTAAGGGGACCGACCTGTGTTAAAAGCTTAGATTCAAAAAATAGCTATATAAATCGAAATAGTGGAAATTTTTTTTTGTAATCGTAAAATATGTTTATTAGACACCTGATTGACCAAAAAAAATTCTATCCAAGCTCTGAAGTGCCAATTACGCTTATTTTTTCATAATACTAAATATTATAATAGGATTCACTTGCCACGCGATTCTGACTTGAGCTTTTCATCAATATTGATCTATGGGGTCTCAAAATCTTCAGAAAAGTACCCTCATCCACTTAAGCGGAGCAGAATTTGAAAAAAAAAGTTTGTTTTCCTTCCAAGAGCTTTAATATGGCTTCTAGTGTTGATAAAATACTAATTTTCTCAAAAATTGGCACATTTTGACGTGTATATAAAGTTGTACGCAATTTTTCAAAATTCTGCTCCGCTTAGGTGGACAAGAGTACTTTTCTGAAGATTTTGAGACCCCATAGATCAGTATTGATGAAAAACTCTTTTCAAGATCGTGCGGCAAGTGATTTATAACACAATATTTCGTCTTATGAAAAAAGTGATGTAATTGGTATTTCAGAGCTTGGGTAGAAGTTGTCAATCTGGTGTAGAATGAACATATTTTACTATCACAAAAGAAAAATTTCCACTATTTCGATTCATATAGCTATTTTTAGCTGAAGCTGAATTTAAGCTTTTAACACAGGTTGGTCTCCTTAATAAAATACCCTCTTCATTTCATACATTTGGACAATTTTTTTCAATCTCCTTGAGAAAACTGTATGTGAAGATTTATCTCTTTAATTCATAGTTCTATTTTCAAAACTCTTGAATTCATAATTGTATGTTACATAATTATAAACTTCAGCTTATAACGTAAAAATTAGTTGAGTCAACAGTAAAATATCCATTAACGGACACCTCCCAATAGCGGACAAACCTTGCGGTAAAATATTAAGATTTTGAAATTTTGAAATTTTGAAAAAGTCATCAAAAACGAAAAAATATCTGCAATTTTATACGTTATTGATTATTAGCACTTATTTGTAATTCATCATGTAGTAATGAATGCATGATAACAGTATTTTTAATTTTATATCATTAGTTTTATGTTCATTTCTGTTCATCTCTTATAAGCGGTTATCTCTCAATATAGCAGAAAAGTTCTTCAAAACTATCAGTGTCCGCTAAAGGGAAGTTTTACTGTATATAGTCCAGTATATTACATTAAAACAGACGAAAGAATATTCAGTTTATTGACAAGAATGATATTACATTCAAATGCGCGGCATTTCACCGCACACGAGAGTCCAAATAGTTATTTATGCAACAAGTGCGTTTTTTACGTACAGGGTAAGCACGAGTGCTTGCTATGCCGATACGAGTGCGAACAACACAGACATGTTTTGCACGCACTGCAAATACGTGCAATTCGACAATATTCCAGTGTCTAAAAACGCATTTGCGCACAAAAAAGTGTTGTGTTACAACTTCAAAATTTAATCAACGCTAATAAATCCTAATATTTTTCACATTTTTCTTTGACAGCTATTTCATTGGTTTATAAACAATACTCTAAACTAGTGGCAACGTTCATTGCCCAAAGCTGAGCGAAGTTATGTATATCACGAGGTCTAGAAAGGGCATTCTTTTAAGATAACTTTCGTTTTGATAATTAATCATATAAACTTACACTTTTCAATGAGTAGCCGTTGCGAAATTCAGCAACTAAATGAGCTGAAAAACTTGATACTTTTATTTCCTTAAATTATGGTACCCCCAGTTAACAATCTTATTCCAGACAACCTCTGCACTCGAATCAAAAAATAACGTCAGTGCGATTCCTTTCCACTTTACTATTATTTAAACCGAACAATTTGTTTAAAGATTAGTTTAAAACAAAAGAACATCAACATGATTTAATTGACATTCATTTTTACTAATTACTAACAAAAATATGAAATCAAAATTTTAAAATATGCAAATGAATTGATTTCCTCGTTTTATATATATGTAGTCCTGAAAAGGACTGTTGATTTAGTATATCTAGATTTATTATAGCTTAAGCGCGTTCTCCACGAATACGACGGGCCAACTGAATGTCCTTGGGCATGATGGTGACACGCTTGGCGTGGATGGCGCACAAGTTCGTATCTTCGAAGAGACCGACGAGGTAGGCCTCGCTGGCTTCCTGCAGGGCCATGACGGCCGAGCTCTGGAAACGCAAGTCAGTCTTGAAATCTTGAGCGATTTCACGAACCAGACGCTGGAAGGGCAGCTTGCGGATGAGAAGCTCAGTGCTCTTCTGGTAACGTCTGATTTCACGAAGGGCGACGGTGCCGGGCCTGTAGCGATGGGGCTTCTTGACTCCGCCGGTGGCTGGGGCACTCTTGCGAGCGGCCTTGGTGGCCAGTTGTTTGCGCGGAGCCTTGCCTCCGGTGGACTTGCGAGCGGTTTGCTTGGTACGGGCCATAGCGACAGCTGAATGCGGTGTATGCGCTTCGTGAGAACGATACGAACGATATGTGTCTGCAACGGCTGCAATTCGCTTCTTTTATATCGCTATTTCGTGCGGTAGCTTGGCTGGGCAGCTTGGCTCGGCAGAGGGGAGCTCGGTAGACAGTAGGCCGAAGGGGGGGGCCGCACCGCTTGGCCCCCTATAAAACCGTTCGCTTGGCTCCCATCGGCATCAGTTCGTTGCTCTCCGTCGAACAGTAAACCCAAAGCATCTCTCATCATGACTGGACGTGGAAAGGGAGGAAAAGGATTGGGAAAAGGAGGAGCAAAGCGTCACAGGAAGGTGTTGCGTGATAACATCCAGGGAATCACCAAGCCTGCCATCCGCCGTCTGGCCCGTCGTGGCGGAGTCAAGCGTATTTCTGGCTTGATCTACGAAGAGACTCGTGGTGTACTCAAGGTCTTCCTTGAGAACGTCATCCGTGACGCCGTCACTTACACCGAGCATGCCAAGCGCAAGACGGTCACAGCCATGGACGTAGTATACGCTCTCAAGAGGCAGGGCCGCACCTTGTACGGTTTCGGCGGCTAAACATCTAGCCTTGACCATCTCACAATTAAAACAATCGGCCTTTTTCAAGGCCACCATATATATCAAACGTATAACAAACTATCCTGTATACAGAACTCTACATTATTAACTCGTGGAAATGCTCAACTACGAGAATATGAATTCCGAATCAACATGAATTTTGAGGGAATGGTAGTTCATAGTATAAACTCTATTTCTAGCTATTTTAATGACGAAGAGAGAATAACTAAATCTAGTCCGTATAACCATTTCACTACTTTTTTCTGAAGCCTTTAAATATTCCGCAAGTAATACTGATTGAATCAAGTGTCTTATTCAAAAGATACAGCAAATGACCCTAATATTTCTTGTACATAGACTAGGGATACTATTTTATGGGCAGTGACATCATACGTATGCAATTAAAATCACAGCCTATTAACACACGCGTCAGTTTGTGTACCGAAATCAAATTTGTAAGTTCACAAACCTATAATGTACACACATCTCTTCGTAGCGCGAGCGGTACAATACATGTGTTTTTCCAGTCGTCAGTGACGGTCACAAATCGACCAGAAGAATTGAGAATATTATCTTCCCACCGACAACAGACTTGGTTGGAAGCCGTTTGCGTGATGATTTTTCTAATTTTTCGGAATCACGGTTATTTCTAGCTTTTTCTTTGGTCATTTAAAAGAATAAAATCTTTCCCCGCTTAAGGGTTTGCATAGCAATCCGAAAAGAAAATTTAAAAAACCATTTCATCAGAGTTTATTGATAATATTATGCGCAAAAAGTCGAATTTTTAATATTTATTGATTTATATAAACCAAAGACTTTATCTTAAAACCATTTCGATATTTCAAAACATGAGGATTTCGTCTTTGTCTAGATATTTTTTTCCACTGTAAACTAATTAAGGAGGCTCTACACCAATCATAACAATAGTACAGCGAGGCATCTGTCTGTCTCTTTCTCGAGACATTTGTCTGTCTCTTTCTCGCATTAGGCAGACGACCACTCGCTCTATTCGAAATCAATGATTTTGTTTAATTACTCATTAGTTAGTTCGTTAAGGGGTAATTTTTAACATACCAATCGAAAGCTTGGAACTTTCTCTTTTAGAAAATATATTTTTTATTAAGATGGTTGATCTTTTAAATTAGTTATGAACAATAAAAGACCGCGTCCCATAAGAGCCCGTGTTAAAATCGTCATTTTTAAACTTGTTTATCTCGAAATTTAGTTAGTCAACCACATTTTTTTTGGAATCTCATTTTGAAGATCTAACAAATCGATTGATATAAGTTTTATCATATTGGATGATCTTTTGCATAATGTGTTGATCCTCCTTAAAAGTATTTTGATCAAGCTAATTTAACGGGTGATGAATACGAACGGACGGTTTGTTTGTCTCCAGGCAAATCAGCTGGTCGATTCGTGACCGTCCCTGACGACTGTAAATACTACCTATTTCGATGCTTCGACTCGCGTTGCTGCCTATACTTACATTGTTGCCATCAAGTATACGGGATGTCTGTTTACGTTTGTACTCTGCTAACAATTTCAAATATGATACGAGATTTTTCTGACAAATCGCTTCTGCAAATCTAGTACAACTAATTATCTTTAAAAAACCTATTCTTTATTTATTAGCTGGATGAAATATAATTAAAGCTAATTATAATACATTAAAAAGCCAGAAACTACCTCTAAAAGAATATAATGTTCAAAATTACGTAAATACAAAGAGTCTTCAAGAAGCGAGAAAAGCCGCAATAACATAATAACTCATATAATAATTCAATTTTTCTGAAAAATACGAGCATTATATAAATTTATAACTGATAGAATTGATAATAGTTTCATGTTGTACACAATTTATCTAGTATACATAAATTTTTGAACAAGACTAAGTGCTGTATTTCATACGAATTATTTCATATAGAAATAATTTCTATTCCAGGATTATTAATTCTTTATCTTATAATTACTTACTTGATCACATACGAAATGTGGCTTTAATTTGAAAACTATTTGTATTCAGATTTATATTAAATAACTTGTCGATTCTTAAGTATTATGTTGAAATATGTATAACCCCTATGTTATTTAATTTTCATGGCTCAAAAAGTAAATAAAGAAATACTATATTGATACTATACACAAAAATTATTTAAAACATAATTTTTAATGATTTTTGTGTATAGTATAAAAATTATTTAAAATATAATTTTAAATGATTTAAAACTATGTTCAGCAATGACATTGAACTTCAGATTATGTATAATTTGAGTTTGCTTCAATTTTTTCAAACGATTCAACGTAATATTTATACTCTAATAATACTTCCTTTTATTGCTTACGGAAATCAATAGTAGGAGAGCAATCACATAATCCTTGCATCATATTTATGGACAATTTTTTCAAAGCAAGTTTTGTGCATCTGATTGTTGTAGGAGTCATCAGTATAATAAAGAGCACACATAAAAAATATTTAATCGCTCCGAAAAAAATAACTTTGCTTGAAATATTATATAGAATTATTTACTACCTGCTACACCATACAATTACGCGAATTACTATATTAAATGGTTTAACTGATAAGTTTTGTTATAGTGGAAACAGTGATAAGTGACAACTAGATATTATAATTTTAAAAAATAGTGCTACCAATACAGAATCTAGTCAATCATTACAACCAACATAATCGTATTCGTTACATTTATCAATATTATTTTTACATGCCAAATGAATCTACACGCAGTGAAATTCAGTAAGGATGCTAAAAATATATAATTATTATGGAATGATTTGTAGGTATCCTTAATAAAAAACATACTTGGTGTATACCTTGATTTAAAACTATCTTTCCAGTTGGAAAAATAGTCTAATTTCTCATTGCTACTTCAAGTGAATTTGAAAAAATCTGTATCTATCAAACTCTATAAACGAATGTATATTTCAACAAAAAGTGAAAAATCTCACCTAATTCTAAACAATATTTAAAGGAATTTGAAAATTGTTTTGCATAACAAAATTGACGGGCTTATCAATAAATTTAAGTTACTTTCAAAACCTTCATGAGTAATACAAGCTAAAAATACATTTAAACAATTACAGAAAAAGTGCCGAAACGACTTATAGTGGCCATCATGATGTTTACAGCATGCTGGACAACATTTATGTGTCGCTTACAAATGCCCGTTCTTGTGGTAAAAATGATACATATACCAGATTACAACGATTCTAAAAGTATAAATGATTCTGATGATCATCCTGAAAATGCAAAATTTATTCGAGGTCTCGAAAAATATATTTTCTTTAATAGATCGAGGGGACTAATCAAATTTTTTTAAATCCCCATGTATAAAATATATTTCAATATATCAGCTAAGTTCTCTCTAATATAATTTCAGGGCAAGTTCTTGCAGCTTATGCGTATGGTCACGTACCAGGAAATTTGATCGGTGGACTTCTAGCGATGCATTTGGGACCCCGATCAGCAATATTCTGGTCAGGGATCATCGTTGCATTGGTTTCAATGATTTCACCATTTCTCTTTAATATGCACTGGTTATTACTTATGATATCGCGCATTATCATTGGTTTAGCCGGTGGAGTCAATTATCCAGCTTGCCATGCTCTTTTATCTCAGTGGGCTCCACCAAACGAAAAATCTCGCTTCGTTTGGTCATTATTAGGCGGTACCTTTGGAGTAATCGTAACTTATCCATTGCTAGGAGCAATAGTTGAAAATTTTGGTTGGCAGTGGGGATGGTACATACCATCAAGTGGTATGCTTGTATGGTTAATGTTTTGGTGGTTTTTAACTTACGATTCACCCCTGGAACATCCAAGCATAAGTGAAGAAGAAAAACATTATATAATAGAGTGAGTATAAAAAATTACTCCCAATCTTCATTTTTGTTACTTATTACTTTTTTCGTAGCTCACAAGCCGAAGTAGTTAGCCAAGAAAAGATGATATTGAAAGAAATACCACTAAGAGCCATCTGTACATCTATACCATTTATATCATTAGTAATATGCCACTTTGGTAATTCATTTCTGGTATTTTTATACCAATACGCAATGATGATTTATCTGACAAAGGCACTAAACATGTCAATAAGTAAAGGTGGATTGATAGCAAGTTTACCCTGGATCGGTCGATTGGTTTTTGGTTTCTTCTTCAGTTGGATTGGAGATAATATCCGGCAAAAACAAATTGTATCACTCACAGTTTTCCGAAAATGTGCTTCTATATTTGGTTAATATTCATTTAAAATTTCACTGGAGTATTTTAAACTGAAACAGTTAATTTTCTTATTAAATTATACATTACAGCTCTGTTTATTCCTAGCCTTTTTCTAATTGGGGTATGTTATGTGAGACAGAATGATGTGACCATCATCAATGTTATGCTTGTACTAGCATTAAGTTTCAATGGAGCTGTATGTATTGTTAACTTGGCTAATAATCAAGATTTGTCGCCAAATTATGCTGGTTTTCTCTATGGGATCATGAATACTGTAGCTAGTGCAAGTGGAATCATACTACCACCTTTAATTGAAAAAATAGTTGGTCACGATGTAAGTGCTTGAGTCAAAGACTGTGAAAAGTGCTGTTGAGTTAACATTTCGAAAAAAGTCACGATATAAATATACATTTACAGGAAGATCAGGAAGAATGGCGAATGGTATTTTGGGTAGGCGCTGCAGTGTGCACCATTTCGATGATATTATTCGTTTTGGGAGGTAGTGGGCAGGTTCAAAGCTGGAATGAAATTAACAAGCCCACTGAAAAGAAAATTAGTTTGGAATTGACTCAAGAAAAAAATATTGTGACGAAGTTCTGAAATATCAAGGACAAATTTGAATGAATTCTTTGTAATATATGTCTTAAAAAAGTTCATCTTGTATAGACATAAGATGTCAAGTGTATATTATTCTTTATATCAATTCTATTCTAAAAATATTTTTCAGTTTAGTACACATACTGATTCTAAAACAAGTCGATTGAGTTTGTAGATCCTTTGGGTAAAAGATCAATTTAGATGACAATGACGAATAAAAATAAATTATATTTATATCTTTTACTTCACAAAATGCATTTAATACAGATATCATTTCTAATATCATATTAATTGTTGTAAACAAAATAGACTCAGGACATGTAAAATTAGCGATTGCGTCAAATAGAACGAGCGTCGGGTCTTTTTTTTGCTGCAAGTATGATGTATTTCATTCTCCGTGGTCTAAAAATAATTTAATCAAGGTTGAAAAAGGGATTGAAGATTGTAAAATAATTCCAATGAATTTCAAGATAAAAATTATCTCGTAATGTTCGTGGCAAATTTAGTTTAGTCCTCGTTAGTTTGTGGTGGCCTTGAGAAAGGCCGATTGTTTAGGTGGATCAAAAGAGCAAGGTAATTTACTTCGAGCTGGTGTACTTGGTTACGGCTTTGGTGCCTTCAGAAACGGCGTGCTTGGCAAGCTCACCAGGCAACAGAAGCCTGACGGCAGTTTGGATCTCCCGGGAGGTGATGGTCGATCTCTTGTTGTAATGAGCCAAACGGGAAGCTTCAGCGGCGATGCGCTCAAAGATGTCATTGACGAAGCTGTTCATGATGCTCATGGCCTTGGAGGACACACCGGTGTCAGGGTGAACCTGCTTCAAGACCTTGTAGATGTAGATGGCGTAACTTTCCTTCCTCCTCTTCTTCTTGCCTTTCTTGTCGCTCTTGGAGATGTTTTTCTGGGCTTTGCCAGACTTCTTGACGGCTTTACCACTGGTTTTCGGTGCCATTGCAGAGGAGTCTCTTTACGGATTCGGTGAATACGAAAGAATGTGCCGGGCTGCAGTTCGGCGACTCAATTTATATAAAAAACTGTGCGGCGCGCGACGCGGTAACGCGCTAAGCCCCCTCCACTCCTA